GTTTACATGTATAGCTGTTTTGGTATGTGATGATAACACTGAACTCTGACAGACGGCTTAGTAAACAAACGCTGTGGCGTTTGTCCACAAAAAGGAGACTGGGCCATAAAGATAAAGATAAAGCTGACAGGTTCATACTTTGCCCCTTGTTATCATGCGTACTGTTTGTGGTTTGTTTTAAAAGCTAGTTCAGCAATTCTTTTCCAGGCTGGATTGGCACTCCCAGACCTGAGTACAGGTCCATACAATCAAGTTCATTCAGTCAATTCTCACTCAGCACCGCATGCTCCAGGGAGCGTAGCGCCTTAGTCTCCACCAGACTTCTTTTGCGGGTTGAATAAATCGTACTGAAAACTCGGCGGGGAAATGGAGCTTCTCTGGCCGGCTACCTTCTCTGGCCAATTCATACCCTTTTTAGGCCGATTTCAGTACGATTTATTCACCGTACCCCGCAAAAGAAGTCTGGTGGAGACTAGTGAGCGCCTCTCCATTCAGTCAACCAAGTAAAGTAAATGACATGCCGCATTGTAGTGCATATGACCGCCGAACGCCACATGTTTTGAATTTTAATACTGGGCGTCACATTAGTAAAATAGTCCATTCAAGACGCCATGGGAACGACAAAGCAGCGTCAAACACTACGTGCGGTCGTTCATAACAACAGCAAATACGTATAAATATTATGTGTGATCATAGTTAACAACAACGTTTTCGACGATCAGCTAACCATTATAGCAGTACTAGTACAAATTTGAAAACCATCAATGTTTTGCTGTATATATATAATGACTTCTTTATTAACTACCACATGATACATTAAAGAAAGGCAGCTGGTCATTGCCAATGTCATTTCTTCTTAAAATTAGAACACTGATAAATCTATCTATCTATAAGTGACAAAGTTTTGGTGTAAATCAAGAAAATAAAGGTGCATTTGAGAAAAGACTACTAAATCTTTCTACGATGATAATGCATCATATCTCCTATGGGAAAATAACAACAATATGATCAGAGCTGGCTCTGACCTTTGAAACTACTTTTCTACATAATAGTAATACGTACATGAAAATGTTTTGCTAGAGAAATTTCTCATCAATTTGGACAACATTTGTACACTAATCAGCCTACAGGTTTCCACGGATCCAGTCACAAATCCTGCGCTTTTGAATGTCGTTCAAACTTTTGGACACGCTAAAGAACAGATGGCCGAGTGCCTTATTGTGGAGCCGCGTCTGTTTGTTGAGGAACGTCCTGTCGAATGACGTGCTGTCATACAGTTGTTGAATGTCCCTGCTTTTCTCGTGCCCATACAGCAGAACCATCACTCCTGTGAAAAGAAGAAAAAATATGTTGCTGAATGTTCCTCTGTCCTTATCCACACAATGCCATTGCAAATACAGTCGGGCACACATCACAAACAAAAGTTTGGACGTCTGGCGCAACAGCAGCATGCGCAACTCGGAACCAAGAGGTTTCGGGTTCGAGTCCTGACATGCCACCGATATTGTGCCCTTAGGAAAGGCACTTAACACGACCTTCCCAACTAGACTCAAGTGAAAATGAGTATTGTCTGTCCAGTATTCGTTTCTATGTGCGGGACACAACACCATGGGCTGTGTCCGCTGTTACGAAATCTATACCCTCACACTGCCACGCTAAGTCACAGAATTGTAAATGTCCCTGCTTTTTTCCGAAGAGAAAAATGTTGGTGTACGTTTCCCTTTCTTTAGAAGTACAGTCATGCACATATTGCAAAAGTTTAGACACGGACTAGCTGTGTCTGTTATTACAAACTCCGTCTCCACTGGCAGATACTAGTAATCTCCAAGTTTATCTTTCCGTGGCTATGGCGACAGCATACTTTGTTGACTGGCACGACTTTGCCACCGGAACATCTGCTGCTATTAGATATTAAACATCTGCTAATACTAGATATACCGTGAAAAGGAACTGCTTCAGCAAATCGTTTGTTGTTTGGGTTTCATTTCCTCATGCTTCACACACAGTTAAGCAGCAGAACGTCTAGGTTTAGGAATAGTGTTTTACCTTTTATTGTCAAGTTGCTGAACCATGCTTGATAAATTCTAATGTGTATTATGTGTAAGGCTACAATGGTATGAGTGTTGGAAATAATAATAAATCAACTAGTTCATTCGTATACAACAGCCTTAGTGCTACTCACCACTTCCCCCTACAATCTTCTCCGCTGCCTTGACTACATAGCTGATCTCGTCGTGTTCCGTGTCGGACAGTAGGATGTTCCTTGTGGTAGAGTTGGCACAGCAGATGACGCGCGTGTCCCTCTGGAGTGTCCGCTTGAGGCCGTCTATGTCGTCCTGGCCTGAGATCCGCAGGGTGAGGACGGCAGTGTTGGCCAGACCTCTCTCCTGCACGGCTGCCTTCACACAACGTTCCACCTCATCCAGAGTCCAGTCCAGAGACGCTACGATGCAAACCTGGTGCTACATAAGGGAAATGTCACTAATGAGCATCAAAAATTGACCAATTGTCCTTTCGCTGGCTACCCTTCAAACTAAAGCTGGTACATCTCTTGTAATACGCCATTTTGCATATTACAAGCTTCAGCTCCACTTAACAAATAAAGAATGAATTTTCATGCATTTCGTGCGTTGTATGACCTAATAACCTGTCCCAATATCTTTGAGGCCATTCGTTTGTTTTGAGGTTATTGTTTAACAAAAAATGTACAAGAAGGCAGACAATTATATTGAATTGCACATCTGATGCCCCTTGTGTATTAGCGGCAACTGTACTAACTGTAAAGCAAATACATTCATTCACAAATAAAACCAATGTGTCTAGAATTGCTTTAGTGGTTTTTAATGATAAAATATAAATACACACATTTTCATCCAGCCATTCCTCGTCATCAGACATATCGCCGTATGCCCCCGGGGCCTGCCCTAACCGACGTCTAGCTGTCAGCGGCAGTCGTCTCTGATAAAGGATGAAATCAGAAATACAACGCAAATATCACAGTCAGTACATGTACGTACAACAGGCCCGGGGCATGAATCGTTAACGTTTGCCCTGAAACAAAGGCGATTTTGACCGATCTTAAGTCACGATAATCTACTTTTTAAATTATCTATGTGTACTAGTACTGTAAGATTTCAAAAGTATTGTTCATTGCCTGACATATACACTAACGACAAGAGTACTTTTTGTATAGTGTAATATGTATACTTTGCATGATGGAAATGCATATCATTTTATTTCTAGTAATGGTACTCGTACACACAGGGATTCATAGAAGTTATCATACATATATGGGTAGATCATACATTAGAAACAGTAGGAAAACTCACCGGCCCTCTCTTGTTGCATTGTGAACAGATCAGCCAGCCTATGACGATGCAGGCACCGACTACTATAGTTTGTATATGTAGAGGATACTCATACAGTATCACGAGGTATCCTTGCGCTATGGGTTCCTTCTGATCATGACCTTCGGTAGAATCATTCGATGCAGTAACCTTTCTCTCGAGATTATGCATTGTGTTGACAAGTTTACTCAGCTCTTGCGACACTCTTCCCATACTAGCTTCTAATTCGCCATGAAAAGTTGCTTGTTTCCTGACTAATTCTGTACTTAGGTTTGATGCCATACTTTCTGTTTCAGTTTTCAAAGCTAGTAGCCCACGCTCCCACGTTGTATTAAGCTCCGATGATTTCTCATCAACCGTTGTCTTCCATGTAGTTAATGTATTGTTAACACTTTCTGTGCTATCGTTCATCTTTTTGCTAAATGCCTCCAGTTTATCTTCCAATTTAGTGCTCATACTTTTTGTTTCATTTTTCAAAGACAGTAACCCACGCTCCCATGTTGTATTAAGCTCCGATGATTTCTCATCAACCGTTTTCTTCCATGTAGTTAATGTACTGTTAACACTTTCTGTGCTATCGTTCATCTTTTTGCTAAACGCCACCAATTTATTGTCCAATTTAGTGCTCATACTTTCTGTTTCATTTTTCAAAGCTAGTAACCCACGCTCCCACGTTGTATTAAGCTCCGATGATTTTTCATCAACCGTCTTCTTCCATGTAGTTAATGTATTGTTAACACTTTCTGTGCTTTCATTGATCTTTCTGTTGAAAGCCTCCAATTCACTGTACATATCTGCAAATGCTTTATTCATATCTTCCTTGAAGTTTTTCAACGTCGTGTTGAAATTGCTAGTCAAATTTGTGGTTTGGTTTGACAATTCACTGTTCAAAATGCCTAGTACTTTGGTTTCCATTTCTTGCAACCGTTCGTGAAAATTGTTGTTCAAAGTATTCAGTAATTCGGATTTCATCTGTTGCATTTCGAATTTCATTTCTTGCAACCTTCCATGAAATGTGCTGATTAAAGTACGTTGTACTTCTGATGCTGAGTTTTGTATTTCTGATTTCATTTCTTGCACCTTTTCGTCAAAAGTGGTGTTCAAAGTATCTAGTAATTCGGATTTCATCTCTAGTATTTTGGATTCCAAACCGCTGTTCAAAGTATCTAGTAATTTGGAATTATTGTGAAGTAATCCTTGCAACTCCTCAGCGAATCTTCTATCGGACGTTAGTCCATTACATTCAGGACATTGTACAGGTGCTTCTTTCCAAAGTTGCACGACGGATATCAAGGCAATGATCACACAGAGTAGCAGAATTACAGAGTAGCAGAATTGACGGGAGATGCCTAAATCTACCAAATCCCTCGTCCACTGTGGACTATGCTTTAGATCCTCCTGCTTGTCTTGATCCTTAACGCTATGCTTTGGATCCTCCTGCTTGTCTTTATCCTTAACGCTAAGGATCTTATCCCAAAACTTCAATAAAGGTTGGTCAATGGTCTTCTGACTGACTTCGGAGCCCTGAGTTTGGAATTGATACAGCTGAATAAACCTACAATCTTCTGCTGCTATGTCTAGATCCTTCTGGGCCTTTTGCATGTTTTCTTTCATTGGCTTTGTAGGTGCACGGTTACTTTGCTTCGTCATAAACAGGAATATTGGAACGTCTGTAAATACAAAGTTCAACTTATAAGAATAATAAATACCTAAACGTTTGTAACGCTAGTTAGTTTTGGTCCTTCGTACAAATGTCATATACTTGTGTGATGTACCATTGGTATGCAAAAACACTTGGGCGTCCAGTAAACAGACGAGGTTTCCACCATGAAATATAGTTGATTTTCTTTTACATAAGTTCACATTATTATAATCAATATCTCTAAAACTTCATATACAGTCATAAGGCATTAATATATTTTTGCAAGGATAGTGTCACAAACAGACGTACTATACACAGAACTCAGTATGATTCCAGGATAGAACTCATAATGAATCATTTACTTACTGCGATTTGTCTTGTCCACGCCTCGTTTGACACCTTCCAACACATCAACGGGCACATGATCGTTACTCGGGCATGTGAAAACCACCATGTCGATTTTCACATCAGTGTGGACGCCACGAAGCGTCTGCTCTAACTCTGCGGCTGACATGTCCCCTTTTTCTTCGAGACTTAACCCTAAACATGCTACTTTGCCGGATAGACCCTCTATATGAGGAAACATGTCAAATCTGTTGAGACAGCGCGTGGTGTCTTGAACACCGCCCCCAGAAACGCCTAGGTTTGGCCACCTGCCGGTCACCGACATTTCCATCGAGTTTACGAACGTGGCTGGCTCCGTCCCTACGACAAGAATGTTACACTTGTCTGTCTCACTCAACCCCTCAATCCTCTTCCTCACAGCCGTCTGTACATCAGACATTTTTAACGACGGGCACGTCTCTCTGTAGTAGATCGAAAAATCAGAACCGTGTTTCGTGCGGGTCGGAGACTAGCGTTCCGTGCGTCACCCTGAAGGGCCTAAGTAAACAACATGGCAACCGGTGAAACTTTGTCACGGGTTATGGTTATCTGTGGATAGCAATGCAGCAAGCTCTGTGCAAGTTATATACATGTATTGCCATTTTCTCTTTTTAGCCATACATTTTAGGAAAATAGAAGACAGTATACTATTCAATATCAACTGATACAACTTATTCAAGCTTTGATTTGGCACATTTTCAAAACCCAATTGCAAAAGAGCGCATTTCGAGTCATGATGCCGTTTTATTTACCATCGCAACCGTATATAAAAAACAAAACAAAACAGACGACTCGTTTAAAGGTAAACACAGTAATTGTAAGTTAACGGTTGCACTTGAGTATCACCTTTTCCAAAACATTCCCAGTGCTGAGATGGTGTCACTTTTCGGACCTTATAAAGGTACCATACGTATGTACAAATTAAAAACTTCAAGCCATATTTACGTTTGAAGAAAAAAAGTCTTTACGGAACTAACACTAAAAACAGAGAAAATAAACTGATGTTTGCGTAATTATCTGACGCATTCTAATAAAATATACGCTTTAGTTAAGAACAAGCAATTGCTAGCAAGTTTGTAGCAAGTCGTATCTATTCGCATTGTGACAATTCGACACTTACATAAATATGTAATATTCAATGCAGCTACTGTCGTCAGATCGAAGTTCGCAACGCACAGGAGGCATAAAATGCAGATAGGGTAACCGGGCTTGTTCTCCAGCGACTTGTAAATGCTCATAACTGAAGCTGTGCAGATAACACAGTAACTGTTTGTTCTTCCCATGGAAATTAAACATTGATTGTACCATGATTGTGCTTTTTTTACCTCCATGATTGTACCTTAATCAACATTTGAGTTCCAATTCAAGTTTAATGTGTAGTGTTATTAGTCACACTATATATTTCCCCAAGTTTGTAAGATTAACAAAAGAAACCACAGTGCCTGATTTTCTTTATCAAGTTTGTCAAGAATGTTACCTGTAATGGTAAATATAGTGATTGACATCAAAGGATAAAAATGGCGCCCTGCATGCAAGATTCAGGATTAGATTTATTTGCTGTAGCACAAAGTACACAGACGTCCAGGCATTTCTCATATGTGTGTACAAGCAATCGCTAACTGTAATATTTTACAACATACTGCTGGCAAGTGACTCACCACCCATTGTGTACAGATGGTTATCTGTATGTGACCTTTTTTTGTTCCCCTTTTCTGGCTCAGTCAGCTACCTATTTCTTAGTAATCAAAGTAGCTTTTGCTATGTACCACTGGTCCATACAACTGTGCATCATGTATATGTTTTTTGTATGTACATGACTTGTATATCACTATAATAATTGTAGTTTACCCAAGTAGTTTATTCACATGTAATATCTAGTGTGGTAATACATTTTGTACCTAAGCTTGTGTCATAATATTTTCTGTGTACAGTCTCAAAAGGACAGCTTTTCAATACGGGCAGTCTGACTGGTAGTCTAACTACAGTGTTAAGGCTAACTTTAACCTAACCTTCGTTACATGCTACATTGAGTGAGGAATAAAACCCAATAGTGACCTCTTTCACAGTGTACACAAACTGTAGTGTATCATCTAGCCAATTGTTGCTACAGTTACTACTGTTTCTACTTTCTACGTGTAGCTGGATTTAATGTTTGCATGACATTGTACCATTATTCCAAACATTATCCAATTGCCCATTACTCTTAATATGAAATTAAAGGTAAGAAAATGAAATAGTTGATTCACAAATGGTAAGGTCAAATGAGGTATTAGAATATTTGATCCAAAATACATTTCTGATTCGTCTACATAAATGTATTGAGTTTGCCATTTCAATTTAATAAATTACATCCATTATATCAAATCAAGCAACACTTTCAAATTGACGATAAAAACTTGTTTTTTTTTTAATAACTTTTTTGATACAACTTTGAAACCACTGCATGTTAAACATAGCCAAGTGAATGAGAAGTTCATTGATAAACTATGGGGACTCCTTTTTCATGTTCACTTCCCTCTGGGAGTCTTCCCCCCGACTTTCCCCCCTCTGACCCCGACCCTGCTGCCAGCCTGCTGTCTGCTCTTGGCTGCTGCCTTCCCCTTAATCCCTGCTCCAGCTCTTCCTCCTGTACAGCAGAAAATGTAGAATGTCAGGTAGCTTTTCCAGGGAAAGATCATTCTACCTTAAATCTTAAAAAACCTGTTGGACTGTTATGTTTAGATGGTCGGTTGACACAAGAAATGGGACACACCAAATAAAGCACTAGACTTAAGTGGAAATCAATGTGTTACATATACTATGAAATTTCAAAAGACGACAGTTAAGTTAAGCATATATTTGACTGTCATTAGGCATGAAATGGAAAAGAAGAAAAAAACATTCTACCTTTCTTCTCTAGAGCCTGCAATCTGCGGGGATTGTTCTTGCAGCCATCCTTCCCCATAAGATGAGTTTTCCAACCCTTTAGAACAAAACATAAGGTTAACATATAAGGTTAACAAAATTCCCGTCTGTAGCTTCCAAATGTTAAGTCGGAAAAGATATCGTCTGCAATAGGCTAAATTCTGATGCAACGTTGACCAAACATCCAATGAAAACCGTGAAAACTCTGGGTTTCGTGCAGGTGCAGTACGTTCTGCCTATGTGCTACAAGAAACATGTTTCTGACTCACCTCCTCTCCAGGTGGAATGTTCTGATGACACAGGGGACAGTGATTGGCCACCTTTTCTGGCTTGGCAACTGTGAATGGAAACAATACACTGTTATTTTCACCCTAAATAATTATGTAAAGATCGGAAAGCAAACTGTGATGACAAAACATGTAAAAGTTTCTTTTGGGTTCTGATTTTGAATGTCCCTTTACAGTTGCATGCATGTCGTCTGAGCAAAAACAGTTGGGATTTGAACTCCCAATCTTGTAGTCCAGAGGCAGAGTCGCTAACCACTGAACTATGAACACTACATTTGTATATGCATGCACAACCTGAAACCTGAATCACTTCTTTCCATGGCAAGATAACTTCTGTGAACAATGAGTACAAAGTACCTACCAACACACTGTTTCAGCCTGTTGTGTTCGTCGTACTCTTCCTTAGGTATAGCCTCCGTACAGCGGGGACACTGCTGGAAGTTATCGCTCTGGTCACACTCTGTCAGAAGGTGTTCTGTCAGCCCTGCAATCTCAACAACCTATAGTACAGGCACAACAAGCAAGGGACTTAGAGTTAGACATTTGTGATGGTACAGACTTCAAAATGTGAAACTTCTCCAAGGAGAGAAGCTATCTTCAAAAACTACTGAAAATTAGGTATAATTATCATACATTTACAAAGGAACTAGAATATATTTATAAAGAACATGACCATTAAATTCCAGATGTTTAGATATAGCTATGATGATGATTATGAAAATGAGAATAAAAGGATGATAAAAATAGTCAGGCGGAATCATTACTTTACATGTATTTGTAATCTGGCCTAGAAAGACATTGACAGACCAAAACAAGATCTCCAAACTATCATTAAAGTTCATCTGTGTTGGTATCATTCGTAGCGTTGGGAGAATAACAACGATGAGAGTGGAATTCAACCAGTTTTGACTTTCTCAAGAACTTGGTACATGTTTAGAGTTAAAAATTTTGATCCAACACAAAGAAGTTCTCTCACCTATAGTCTCGAAGACCAGAGTGACTGGCTGAAAGCTTTACATGTAGGTGAGAGAATATTATGTGAGAAAGAGAATCTGTTCCACGGCACACACAGGTTACCTGTTTACAGTGTTGACACCTGCGCAGCATGGGGCAGCTCTTCCAGTAGTGCAGATCCAGCCCTTCTTCTGTAAATGACTCATTCCTCTCACCACAGAAGATACACATGCTGCAAAATATACCGGAGCACATCAATGTTCATGTACTAACATAGGATGTAAAGCATTTAAAGAGAAATTCAACATCCATGTTGTGTGACCTCCTTTGTCTTTATCAGGTATTTCCTGCTTGTGAAAATAATGAATATGAAAAAATATTTTGTGCAAGCTAAAATGTAACAAAATGTAATCTTCCTTCTTCTACACAATATAAATTCAAAATTTGTAGTTTGGAAACAGAAATGGTACATGTACATGTACATGTATGAATTCAAACAAAACAGCTACCCTTCCTGAGATAATGTAGAACAGTGTTCCTAAGTCCCTTTTTTTAATCTGTTTGTCAATGCCTGTAACGTCTTCACCTAGGCCTGCATAGCACTGTGGATGTATGTTGTTGGATGTTGTTGTTGTGACATAAACCACAAAAGCATGCAGATGTTTCCGTAAGGTAACATACCTATCCTCCTCAAGATATGAACCCCTCCTACTAGAGGCAATTGAAGCCATTCTTTGTTTCCAAAGCAGCATAGGATAAAGACAGTATCATTATATAGTTCAGGTAAACCTCGTGATAAATTAAGTCGGATATTTCTGACATTACCAGGTATACATGTTGAACTTTATTCCAACACATTAGACTTACACAGAGATCAAATTTTCAATGGCCACTGCCGCCTTCATCAGGATAATTAATGATCGATCACTTCCCAACATAAACTCGCGTATACATGTTCGTATGGTAAATTCCATAGATGATCATCTAAAAAAAATGGCATTTGTCTAGCCTCTACCAGGCTTGGGGAGGCGGCTGGAAAGAGTAGAAATTGACCAAATAGAGGGATAAGCATGCCAAGGGAGTGTCTGTTGAGAGAACATTTCGCCGCCTCCCCAAGCCAGGTAGAGGCTAGCATTTGTCAGCTATTGGTTGTACCCTGCTCCAAGTCCAATTACAAAATGAATCTCTTCAATTGTATCTATTTACTCAGAATGTCGTTCAAGCAAACCTACTAGTGTAGACATGATTCAGAAGTACTGTACGTACTTTTCCATGAGAGAAGACACGTCATCCCCAGCCTCAGACGGAGCGTTGAGGGTGGACTTCTCTCGGGGAGGGGGGCGGTGCTTGGAGTGGGTGGTGGGGGGTTTGATCTTCTGTTCCTCTTTGCCTTCATCTGTTAGTTATCAGCAGGATTCAGGGTTAAAGTATTGGTCAAGATGTCAAACAATGCCAAGAAGAAAAGGAATTCAGAATGTGGTACAGCTTTGAAAACAAGAATGGAGGCTAGTCATACAGTGGACAAAGTACATATAAATGGGAAAATGTTTAAAAAGCTGAGTGAGAGGAAAACGCAAATTTCAATGCCACTGTAAATTTACAGAGAATTGCGCAAGAACATTAAAGATATATTAGATTGAGGAAGAAATCTTCCTACTGCATTTCATGAAAATGAAAAGAACAGCAAGCAAGATCACTTCAGCACCAAGGACAGGTATATTGCTGTAATGTACAGAAGCAACAGTTTTCAATACAAAGAGAACACATCACTTTGCCACATCACTTAGAGAACAGTCATGAAAGATCCACTGCAAAGAAGACTGTGTGTGTGTGTTTGTTTATTTTGTGACAATGATTGAATAACGACATGCTAAAACTACATTGCACTGTAGCTACATGCATGTCTTTTAAAATGGCTGGGTGCACAGAAGGTTGGGCAGTTGTAAGTACAGGGCTAAAGGACACTGCAACTTAGTATTAATCATGGTTAAGAATAGTGATTAACGGTAAGTTATAGGATTGAGATTACGTTTTCTTATAATCAAGACTATTACTAATTGTTAATGATTCAAGTAGGCTTAAGAGTCTAGTCCTATTACATGCAGTCTTCTGGTCAGCTTGGCCAAAGTAAATAGATTCAAAGATTTGAAGGGGACAGAAAGCACAAGAGTCTTTTTATGCTAACTTGAAATACATGTAGCTAGTCTACCAACTTGAAGGTAACATTGAGTTGAGAAAGAAAGTTAGATCATGCTATGGTTAACTCAAAAGAAGATAAGTGTCCTGACCTTTGCCAGATATTAATCATAATGATCTATTCAAAATTAGACATTAGATTTTACACAATGACTAGTGTGAGGCCAATTATATATTTAATTTGATTTTATACCAATTGCTAATCTAGATCAGGTTGATGTTTGGTAAACTAGTCTACTAATCTACTAGTCAGTTAATGTTAGTTAATTGATGTTAAAGAGAGTTAATAAGTTTTGGTTATGCATGCAATGTTAGTTATTGATGTTAAAGAGAGTGAAAAGTTAGCCTGGCTACAAGCTACATGACTGGGAGGGTTAAGGGGAGTGTTAGTAGCCCATACCTTTCTGCACCACGTTAATCTGTATGTTGATGTCCCCGAGGGGGACTTTGCTGTTTGTGTTAGAGAGGGTGGTGGATTGTCGGCTCAAGTCCAACTGACCTTTTGAGGGGCCCCCTTCCTCGTCCTCCTGTAACAAACAAGTTGTCACGGTTACGAACAGAATACTGTGTTCAATACATTTCAAATATCATAATAATTATGTAGGAAAACATATTGTTTTTGCTCTGTTTCTTCTTCCGCTCCAAACACTGACCTGTGACCTGGTCAATGACCGTCTGTCATCATGGTAACTGGTGTTAGGTTACATTATGTTGCAATTTTATAGTAGGAGGGATTTAGACTCCTGTCACCATATATATGAATGTGTTTGAGTAAGAATTAACAGAGCAGACCATATGCGAAGGTAAACATTATGCAATTGCTTTGCAAATGTTACCTTAATTTCTAGTTATTTATTACACCCTTTTCTAGAGAACTGCCACCTTACAAACTTACTTTATGATCAGCATTTCTTTGGTGACCTAAATTTGATATGACTTATGAGAGTGGAATTGTTGTATGATGGCAAGTGTGCTTTTTCTTCTGCATTCTCACTTTGTGGGTTTTCTTCTACTAGCACAAAGAGCCAGCACATGCGAATAGGTATAGATCAGAGAGACTTTTAGGTTTGTGATGACTTCTTACTAGGATGCAAATAGTCAAAAGAAGCGACATGTTTGGGGGGAAAGTGAAAAAAAAAAGATATTATGCAGCAAGTATGAAGCATATGACTCTTTCTACATGGCCACCAAAGTAAGAACATGCTGCAACACATATCCCAACTTACAAGGATACTCCGAGCTTCTTCCAGGAGTCTTTTATCATGATCATTCTGCCCAAGGCCAGAATGTGTAAGCATTGTAAGGAACAGAACAACTTTTAAAACTTTTAGCTGAACAGATATAGTTTACAGATTGTTTGTGACACCATTTTTGTGTATAAACCTGAAGGAGAATACATAAACATTTGTTACAACATCGTGCTAACTTAATGTTGGAAAACAAGACCCAAAAAACTCAGCATTGTCAAATACAGAATACAATGGACATATGTAAAACATGTACAGTACCAAGCAGTAATCGAGCCACACTTGATCACAATGCTAAAAAATCAGAATGTTATAATTTATGTCTATTTGGGTGTTTCATGGTAATTAAATTAGGGGTCCTAGTTCACACAACAGCACCATCTAAAGCTTTCTAAAGCTTGTCTAAAGCTTTTATTCACTATTTCATTATTCATTATTTTTTAAAGCCTGTCTAAAGCTTTTATTCACGCAATTCAGCCTTGTGGCTGCCTAGTGATGGAGCTGTATTGTGATTTGTGTTTGAAATAAACCAATGATATCACACACATAAAACAAGTTACATGCACACCAGAATAACCTAATATACAGTACCTTCCCAATGTTTGCCTGGAGATCTTTCAGCTGAGCTATCTGTGCCTGGAGTTGTTCAATCTGTAAGTAGACAAGACACAGCCACATTGGTAAACAGTACATTTACCGGTACAAGTTCAAGGAAAACAGTATGTTTCAAACCTTCAATGTTCAGAATTGATTTTGATAAAGAAAACTTCCTACCTCCTCTTGTTTCTTTTTCTCAGCAGCCTGCTTTTGGGCCTAGAAAACAAAGATATACATGGTTCACTAACAAACACTTGCACCAAACTGTTGGCGCTTTGTGACCAATGTTCTACAGTGTACTATGCTGTCTACTTAAGCTGCATGCCTGTTTCTTGTGTTGCCTGTTCGTTTCTGTGTACAGTGACAGATGGATATGAAGTGGGGTGCCATGCTTTATACATGCACTGTGTCACTGTGTTATGATATTATGATGCACACCATGACAAAATTATTGCAACAATGTAAAGAATATCAGAGTCAACCTGAGAAATGACACAAAAGATTAACTCAAACATTTTGGCTTCTGGCAATGCCATTCATTGTGTGAAACCTTAAACTGATTAAAATTTGAATTGTTCGGACATACATGTACATTTTCTACTCTGCTGGAGAGATTACTGTGGAACAATGAATAGCCTTGCCATGGCCTTCTATACAAGCATTCACACCAGAATTGCACAAGTTTTCCACCTCATCATTCTGCAGTCAGCAGTGATGGTAAGGATGATGATAATGTCAGCATGGGTGGCATGGATAATATATAACATGTACATAATATTAACACAACAGTATTGGGGCTTACTACACTTACAAAATACACACAGAACAGAACAGAACAACTGTGAGTTTGCCACATGAAAACAGTGTATGGATCATTGGATGGATAACTTAATAATGTTATATGACCTATGCAATGTTGACATAATGTCCGTAACATTAAAACAAAATCACAAACTGTACAAAGATTGTAACATAGATTAGTAACAGTAGAATCTTGACTATCTGTATCAGGTAAGGTTAGGACAAAATAATGATGGAATAAAAAAAACCAAATGCCTTTCGTTGTTTTCTGATTTTATCTTCTTTTGGAGACTTTTATCCTTGAATAGTACAGATTCTACTGTATATTTCACAGCCTTGCATCTGGGAGTTTGAATATACACGTTCCCAGTTTTCACACCTTGAGCTCTGCTTCCGTTGGCTTCCCATCAATTCTGTCAAAACTGTCGAAGATGTTTTTGTAGAGAGGTTTTTTCCTGGTGGCCTGGTCGTCAGGTGGTAGGTAGTCCCTGACTGGTGTGCCCACAGCCTTGTACAGGTCCAGTATGACCCTCACTGCTGCATCGCGCACCTCTCCTGCAGTATGGTCCAGCGCTGGCACCACAAACTACAGGGTATCAGAACAAGTCATCAATACAACATTTGGGAACATTTTCCTTAATTTTTGGCTAAAATTACTTTCATAGCATGGACTGTAGGTGTGCTGTATTGTAGACTATGCCAGTTTTGGCTACATGGTAGACGTGTATATTCCAGGCAAAATACCCCGATATGTTTTTAGAAAAGTTTGAAAACAATTCTGCACTAACCTTCATGACACTGTCAACTGTCAGGCCACTGGAATGGAAGAAGAAAACATTATTTTATGAAGAAGCTCTGTTGATTGCACGACAATTGTACATAGTATGGCAATGTATGGCAACGACTATTTTAGAGATGACCAGTGCTGAGGTTATCTGACCTGTTTTTCTCCAGCCCCAGGTCCTTGAGTAGCCGTTCGACCAGCTCCACCCTGCTGAGGGCCAGTCTGGCCGGAATGGTCAGTTTGAAGGCCTGAGTGGCGTGGTGGGGCACCAGGTGGGTGGGCTTCACATCCTTAAACTGAGCCATGTCCTGGATGTAGTTCAGAGCTGCTACTCTCTGTCTGGCAGCCTAAAGATGCAAACAGCACAAAACTTTACTCTGGTGGAAATGAGTACCTAGCTTTGGTTAGGGGCATCCCTAGGAAATTCAATGTATTGTTAAATGGAGGTCCTGTGTTTGGTGAGAGCCAAACCCCACGCATGTTGAAGATCCCACGGAACTTATCGAAAAGAGTAGTGGTCCTTCCTGAAGTTCCTGGTGTGAGTGGTTCAAACTTTACAGGCCAGTCTTACGCAGCTTGTACTTACATGTAGAAAACTGGCATGGTGTGTTATGTCTAAAGGCGGTTTATGCGTTATGCCAAACAAACAAAACAAAAATTTACTGCCATGCCTTAAAACACAAAATCCACTTCATCCTTTAAAATAACTGTTCAAGGAAATTTATGTTCATTGGCTATGTGTAAAGGAAGGTAAAAAAGATGGCAATAGACCAATGTTTTTATTACCACTCTACCTCTATCTCAACTCTTCTCCCCCCCCACCACCACTCTTCCCCCATCTTCAACTCTTCCCCCCACCTCTCTTTCCCCTCTTAATATTTGGTTTTTAAAAAGATTGAATAATGAAAGAATACTCACAGAGTCTCCTGTCTTTGCCAGCAGGTTGGGCATGGTCTTATCCACACAGTAAGTAATGTCAGCCTTCCCAAGTCTGGAACAAGACAAATCAGTGTGAACTGGATGTCTAACACACAGCATCAATTGAACAGTAATTCTGGTACATACTAACACTAGACATGCAATGATAGGATTGAATGTCTCTTTGATATATGTACATGTGCATCTACTACATGTGTACTAACTCCCTTGAGTTCAAACATGGAAGTCTGCAATCCAATCATTCACTCATCATGCCATCTGCTAAACAGCTCCCTCTAGTGCATGTACCAGGTACTGCAAAAACCCACACTACGTCATTGTATTTAATTGCATTTGCCCAGTTATTTTACAGACATGTTATATAAGTTATGTAGCTTACTTGTGCTTGGGTATGTAGTCTTCAAGGATCATTTTCAGAAGTTTGAGTGATGCACTGAACACCTGAAAAATACAAATTAATGAATCTTCATATATCATGATGCTATTATAATAATGGTTTCATAAGCAGATACATGGGTAGCTTCAAAGCCAAAGGTAGATACATGTAGATATTGTAGCACCTCTACTGACTGTCATTTATGTGACAAGATTTCATTGACTTGCATCAATATGCTCTCTTTAGGTCCATTCCCTTTGCAATATTCACCCAGTGTTTAGAAAAAAAGACATTCTTCACAGTACTTACAGCAAAGACTTTGTCCTTGATTGACCTCTGCACCAGAAAGATGGCTGCCCTGAGTTTGGATTTACACTGATCCCTGGGTGTGTCAGCTCCCATCTCAGTCATCTCCTTATACACCTTCAACAAGGCGTCTTCACGGTGGGCCCAGTTCTTGGAGTATGCTCCAGCAACCTGTCAAGAAAATTATTTCAGTCTTCGCGCATTTTTGGCTCATAATATCAGTAGAACACTTATTACTTAATATGCAGTTATTTATCTCTCAAGTATTCTGACATACAGTTCATTGATTATGACAGTAGTTTGTTAAAAAAAATTGTAATTGTGTAAAATATAAGGCTTACCATAAATTTCAATTGTAGCTGGTCTGAAATAATTGAAATCTTGAAATGCAGGAAAATGCAGTGAAGTGAAGTTGAAGCACATTTGTATGATTGTCTTCTTGAGAGATCTTGTAGACATACATTTTGTAGACATAACATAAGTTAGTACTTGTTCCTCCTCAGTTACTAGTATCTAACCTAGTGCATTTGGCTCATGTGGGGTGTGAATGTGCAATTAAATGTCATTGTCATTGTCACTGTATGCTACTTCTTAACCAGTGTACATTGTACATGTAGGACTGACCAGAGGAAGTCCGTACACGTCAATGACAGCGCTGGCCTCCCGCATGTTCTTCTCAGACATGGGTTCTGGTTCCTCCTCACGAGGGGAAATCTGCGTGTCCTCTGGCTCGGCTGCCGTGGCGTAGAAGTCAGGCTCAGGGTCAGGTGCTGCTGCTGCTGGTTGTCTGGAGATAACACAGGCAGGTATAGGTTATGTACATAGAAGGGAGTACGATGTGTACTTGTAACACAGTGACTATTACAAACTCATTAATTCCATTAATATTTAATTTCTCATTTTTGTAATATAATAAAGAAGTCCTCAAGCTTGTATGAAAGCTCATCTGTGTTGGTAATATCCATAGTTGTAAAGTTCAAACTTTGTTCCAACACAAGAAAGGAACTCACTAATTTTCGGTCAATCTTGTCAACCTTAATGTACAAATGTAAGATGTGTGATGCTTTTATTTCCAGTTACACAGTACATTATATTTAAGTTTTGATGAATTGGCTAAAGCTTTCATTTCAAGATGACATTGTGATTCTATATGTACAATTCATAACACTCTTTACATCAAAATGAAAAAGATTGATATTTAACATTGTTATAATGATTGTATACAATGTACTTACTTTCTCAGTGTTGGGATGGGTCTCTCTTCATAGGATTGTTGTGTCACTGGCTGTAAATGCAAGAAAACAATGTTCAGCATCCATAGATAGCTTTTGAGATTTCTATATAAGTACTGATATTGATTGCACAATGCTGTTTCAGCTTCTTTTTATTTGTTATATCTGCCACCAAGGTAATCTTTTCCCCAGATATTTGTTTGCCTTGTTTAGATGGTTTTAAAGATGATTTTCATCAAACACCTTTATGTGGGTGAGCTTCATTATTGGCAAAAAAAACTAAGTAACTGAACTTTGATAAAAAAACGGGATACAAATACAATAATTGTGACAGATTTTTGTCACTTAGACTAAGTTACATTTAGCTCTTAGCATCCAGAGGCCAAGTATGGCATAGAAGATTGCACAACAAATCACATATAGCCATGTCAATGGTCTTCAACTGTTGAGCTGTTTGGCTTGGGGGAGAAAATCCATGAAACATGACAGTGCAAACCATGCAGTATAATATAGAAACTGGTGTGGTCGGTGAACACCTATCATACTAATTAATAGTGTTAGTCAACTTCATGTACATGTAGGTGAGGGTCAGGCGTACATGTACATTGTTAGCTTTTCACACACGAAGGTGCCTGAAATAAAAGGCAATGTGTGTTTGTGTGCATCATTGGCCAGGAAGTGGGCCACAGACTGGATATTAGAAATTCACATCCCCAAAATCACAGTGTTGTTATTCGTATCTTTCCCCACATGCTTGAGCTTGGGTACAAGTTATAACTACAAAGTGTAAGACACCTGGATATCCACCGGGACAAAATCACACTTAAATGTTACATTAAGGGAAAAGTTGCAAGATTACATGTTTAGGTAGGTGAGTTAACAGATTGTGAATGGTATATGGTTTGTTAAAAGGGTTAGAATCACATAGTTTGGGAGAGTTGTTCTTTTACTACTAAAAACACACAAACAGAACACAATCATAGACAAGTATGAGGGAATCATCTCAAACCTCCTGTAAACCCTCTCCTGATTGGTTGGGAGCAGGGTTTTCTCTGTTGCGTGGGGATTGGTCCTGTAGAAAATTAATCAACTCTCTTATTGCACACAATAGTTGGAATGAGTTGGAGTTGACTCAGCATTGACACACCCAAAATGTTTTATCTTTTGTGAAAGTGGGTCTTCAAGTTAACTTTTATCCAACCTAACACTTTTTATTGGTGTTTCCTTTCAGTCTTTGTTTTCCACCATCTTTTGCCCTTCTTTTATGCCAGATAAAATCAAGATTTTACTTGAAAGTAAAGTGGCCAATGTGAACTGTCTGTGAATTATTGACATACGTCAGTTATATATAATTATAATTTTATACAAGGGTGGTGCCATGTGAGATTCTGTTGCTATGGTGATTACAAGCCGCGCCTACCTGAGCTGGAGGGGGTGGTGTCCTGGGCTGAGGGGGAGGGGGGTCTGGCTCACGTGGGGGTGGCCTGGGCTGCGGAGGGGGTGGCTCATTCCTGGGTCTGGTAGGCTGCACAGAAAACAACATTTTGCAAATTAAAAAAAGGCACATGTAAACTTTTATGACAGTGTTGCTTTTTATTATGTGTACTAGTATTTAAAAGGAAATAAATTGATAATTTCAAACCAGTTAAGCTCACTGAAGAGCCAATTTTCTTACACTGGTCGTAACAGTGTAGCAGTTAAGACAGATGCTGCATACACTACAGTTTACAGGTCAAATGTACATGTACCATGTTCACCATGAAAATTCCCCTAGTTCTTTTCAACAAGTACAGTGAACAATTCACCTTAGCTTAACATCCCATCCTAAGGACCACAACCATTTCCAGTAGTGTGCATTCTCAGTGAGCGACAACAGTCAGCTAGGATTTGAACTCTCAATCCCTTGGTTCAGAGGCAAGCTTAAGGTTGCTAACCACTGGACTACATGTGTATGCACGCTACATAAAGTTAAGCAACTAGACATGTAAATTAGTGTATGTGCTGGAGTTTCAGTTATGATGACTTCAAGTAGAAGATGTGGCAAGAAAAAACCTTATTGTCCAGCAGGTTGTGCAGCTCCAGTTGTTGGTACACCTTGAGTCGGTACTCCTCCATCTGAACCTTCTTCATCTTGGCCAAGTCATAGTCCTCGTTCTCCACCGCCCGCCGTTTCTCTACCTCATACTTCCCAAGTCTCTCCCCAACCTAGACAACAATACAAACCATTCTCAAGCTTTCAAATTATAGATAGCCTCCTGCAGACTTTCTTGCAATCAGGATATAATGAAGCAAATGCTTAATGTTTACCTTCGGACATGGTCTGCTCTGTTAATTCTTACTCAAACACATTCACATACATATAACTACTAGTAGATGGTGACAGGAGCAGAGCAGTGAAATTGCAACATTATGTAACCACGCCAGTCACCATGGTGACATACGTCAACAAATCATGTCATTGGTCAGGTCATAGGTCACTGTTTGGAGAAGAAGAAGAGGAAGAAACTCAGCAAAAACAATATGTTTTCCTTCTGTAAACATAATAAGAGAAAATGGGACTTAAGAACATTGGAACAGCAGTTTAAAAAAAAAGTTTCATCCAAGAATACAGATACACATGTGCAATACAGAAAAGAAAATGCAGCCGTGATAAAATTTCAAACCTATCCCTGAAATTCCTTATCCCTCCATAACCAATCGCAGTTCTAAATTTTTTTTTTACAATATCATTCCTTTTCTTTTTACCTTTTGCAGATCTACCACAGCTTGCTTCAGTTTCTTTGCATGGTCATATCTCTCCTCTGTAAGAAAAAAACAGGAGTTATCATTGCGAGTCTCACACAGCCTCATCATAGTTTTTCCTTCAACATGACATAAACACATGGCAGTGAATAATCAAAGCCTTTTTTTTCATGACAAAACAGTACAATGTACAATGTCTAATTTTCATAATTTTCTGATGGAGATGAGGCTACAAATGTATTTCACTCACGTCGCACAGCCTCTGCCTTCTTGGCATCCAGTTTTCTGATGATCTGGGCTACCTCTGGATCCTGTATGGGACAACATGGAAAAATTAATTTTTAAAGCATTAACAGGGAATAGAAGGCTGCAATTTACTGATCATTGCTTAGCCTAGTACAGTACTGCTCAGTTGAATTACTAATTTTCATACTTATTGGATAATTGCCTTACTTGTAGTTTATAACAAGTATGAATTCACCAGGACAACAAAGTTTAATTACCTGGTACATGTCAAAGGCCAGATCATCCATTGGAGAGATGTAGTCAGGTCTGTGAAAAAAAAGACAATCCAAATGGTATATGAATATATATAAACAAACATATGATTCTCACTTGAGAGGAAAAAAGTCCAAATCATTACCAATTATTGTTTTATTTTCCATTGATTTTTTTTTCGTTTTCATTTCTATTCATTTTCAATATTTCATTATAGCACATACCTGTTGACGAGCCCCCACATGGCAGGGTCTGTGTATTCAGAACTGACAGGCTGCTGTAAGAATTTAACAAAACATTAACAACTAGCTTGGATTGTAAATAACATGTATGTCAGATTTACTCCTTTTCCTTCAAACACCCTTATTTTCCTGTTATCCCTAACTACAAAAGCCACCTTAAGTCATATCTCAGGTGAAATACATAATAGCAGACCTACAGTGGTTGTGAAAACTTAGAAAAGAAAATACCGGATTATAAAAAGACTGATATGACCATGAGAATGCTTTCAAATGTGCAAAGATTCTATCATGAAAGTGACACAGTGATATAGCTTCCCCATCAGTGCATCATGTAATTCTAGCCACCATAGACATTTTGATTTTTTTACGGGAAATCTCACCAATTCAGAGAATGAAATCTTCTTGGTTGGCAGCTAAATAAAAAGGACAATGTACATGTATAACACAGTATCAACAATTATTTACAGAAAATATACTTGCTTCAAATAATTTCTCTAACAGTTTTCCTCTGAGTGTTGTTAAAAGACGTATACTGACAAAACCATATATATAAATAATGAAATCATAACAGAATCATTATGCAGAAATAAGCAATAAAACATAAGTAGGGAAAATATCACATTCAATAAAAACGATATTTGGAATCCAATGATATGAAACTTTTGATCTAATTTTCAAAAATCCAAACACAATTCAAAACCATCCTTTGCAAGACTTCAAGTTGGAATACACTCTCTCTGCAACAGAGTTTATTGGAGTTCAACCTCTCTTTTAGGTGACTACATATAACTGTATATACTAGTACATGTATATTCATTAATAATGAATGATACTTTTATGTGACAACAGCTCACCGGTTTTTCTTGCACATGAGGATCTTTGTTCTCACCAATTATGTTAATTGCAACAAGGCCAACCTAAAGAAAACAAAGTATACCTTACTTCAACATCATACATTGCTAAATTCAACATGTAAATTAAAAATACATGAAAGTCTAGTCAACAAAATGACAGTATTACTACACCTACATGACATGAATAATTTATCATGCACATGCAGTCATGACTCATGTAATTTATTACCAATTACAGTATGTATGTATAATTGTCTAGTTACCTTAGAGACAACAATAGGAAGCGACAAAAGTTTCAGCTGAACTGTATCAAAATGAATGGCACTAAAATATTTCTTTTACATATTTTTTTACAAGACTTCAAGAAAAATGATATAGTGAAAGACCATAAACAAGCAAAGAGTAGGCAAATTAATTATTTAACAGGTAGGGCACGTATATTCACCTGGTTGAAGAGGTTGAATCTATTGATGTAGTTTTTGTGCAGAATGATCTTGATAAACTGCCCGTAGCAGTCCACATGGACAGACTTCAGTTCCCGCGCCCTGTACCCAGTCTTCTCATTGTCAGACAGAGAGACATAACTGTGTGTGGTCAAGAGAAGATCAAAATATTAATATCATGCAGAACACAACATGTAGTTTCAACATCCTATTTTGTATTGTATACACTTGTTGTGAAAAAGGAGATTATGTATGTAGAAATAGAATCTGTAATACTGTATACACAAATCACACTGATGTATGCTCAATTTTTCCTAAGCATTAGGCCACACCAATTTAATTTCTTGGTTAACGGATTTTTCTAGAAAAATAATGGAGCGGGCGGGCAAAAAAAAATAAAAATAAAAACAGGCCTAGGCATCCTATTATGGCCCAAAATGGTACGATAGGACCCATGAAGTCAACACACCAGGCTGGTTAAAAATTTAAACAATGATTGTTGAACTTTTAATGATACCACTGCATTGGAAGATGGAATGACTGTAACAAGTAGTAAGAAAAGGACTGTTTTCAACTGTTTAGGGCAAAATATGAGCATTTTGCACTTGATTCTGAATTTTTATTTTTATTTGCAAATCAGAAAAAAATGAAGCAGCGAATCCGTTAACCAAGAAATTAAATTGCTGTGGCCTTAGCACTAAAAATGAGTTGTTTAGAGTAATACAATGTATACAGTGAGTTTAGCTATGTAATGAGCAAAGCTTTAATTCTACAACCTTGTACAAGTACAATGTATGTCTCCAAGTTTATGGTTGTTGTAAACGTTTTATTAGTAAGATATAAGGGAGAATACTTTCAGTTCAAATTTTGCAGTTCAAACTGCTATCCTTAGATCTACTCTTAGACTTACAGATTTCTATTCTAACATTGACACTGGTCACTGGGGTATTTTTAGTTTAAAGTTTTGCAATCCTGGTACTCTTATCAATGTGAGTGTAACAAACTTGTCAAAACACTCCATTAAAGGTACTTGTATTTTGTAATCACCTACTTGATAGGTGGGTATCCTAGCAACACAGCCGGGAAATACCTGAATCACTGAGTCTAGATCAGGCAATGGCACCTGTACTCTAATCTATAGGTTGCTGCTTACTATAGTACTGTTACTATAATTATTTGTATCACACCAACCTAATACCAACTTACCCTAATCTACTAAAGTTGTTCCCATGTAATGCTCCTAATGAATCTCTGTTGCCTTCACCTACAAAGAACTCCACTTTGGTAGCTGTGAACATCAGGAAAACAATGACATATTGTCAGTCAAACCTTAGTAGGAACTAGGAACGCGACAGGGCAATTTTACTGTGTACACTTAAGGAAAATGTTTTATTCCTTCTTGATAAATATGGTAAACTTACAGTCAAATACATGTAATGATGTAAACATTTCAAAGTTCAGAGAGTTATTTTAAGCATCTATATTGCAAGGCCCAAAATACCACCTGCATATGCAGGTTATTGCAGGTAAAATTGGAGCTGTGCAGGTATTTCTGACGTCTACCTGCACCTAGCCTGAAGCACTGACTGTTATGAAGTACAAATTTATAAAGGAAATACAGTAATGATAATATGGTTTCTGAATAGTTTGTAATGTGTATTGTGCATCCTAGTATAATTACCTATCAAGTACTGGTGTGAAAGCAGCTGAAGTTTCCTTATTCTGACCCGTTCATTCAGCTTTAGTACCAACTCCTGAGGATACAGACAGAACCTGGCAGGGGGGAGACAAAAAAACACAAGTTGGTAAAGATTCTAACAGAACGATTTTTGTGAAACAAAATCACTACAATTCTAATCTAAATTCTAAGCTCTATTGTCTGTTAAATCAAAACTTCAAGCAAAGTTGCCTGGCACATGACGTACTGGTACTGTAAGTCATGATTTTTTCGTGGTACTTTTATGTTCACGTATTTTGCAGTCACTTCTGAACCGCAAACTTATCATTACAGAACAAATGATTCACAAACTTTCTTTCTTCCGCACCTGCTGCCCATGTGAACATATAGTTCTTTGAACATGTCCATTTTTCTCCGACCGCATTATTCTCTTGACCGAACATAAAGTGAGTTACAGTAACATTAGCACTTTGGAGAATGCGGGTCATTTTTTTACAAATCATAATGCTAGCTTAAGATTTTTTAGAAAAGCGAAACATGATGCAAAGAAACATAAGCTGCCTTACCTGGATGTGACCCAGCCGTTGACTGTAGGTGCGTGGGTCTCCAGTTCTTTAGAACTAAACCCTTCATCTTGGCTGGAGGCCTGGATGACTTTGAACGGCACTTTGGTTGGCATTGTGTTTATCTTTCACAGCTGCTCTTTCTATAATATTACAGGTTTCACCTATTGCAATAGGAAATACAGAAATACTCAATTAGTCAATAATAAATGTCATGGTTCACCTCAGAACTGATGTCGTAATTCTGAGTCACAAAATCATAATCACCATCTATTAATATGGTGGTAATGATTTTGTGACTCAGAAAGTACCAATGACATCATAGATGATAAATGATAGGGATATTGCAGTACTGGGATGCACAAAAGATTATGCTATTTTTTATGCTGTTTCAAGTTGTACAAAACAACTGCCTGTCATTCAAATATCAATTGGGCGGGAAAAAAGCAATTTTGTATATATTTTCTTCTGATCGGCTTGATCATTTTATAACACTACTAAATGCCGAACTGTGTCTTTTTAAGGTAGACATGCCCTCCTTGACTATAAAAATTATAATTAAGTTGCAAGACAAGAGAATAAAATTCGATGTTGGTACCAAATTATTTCCAAGCGAACAACGAACAACCCAAAAAACTTCAGTGCCATGTGAAGTGGATTAGAGCGGTTCAATAGTATAATATTTATAGTTGATATGAAAAAGATTCATCCCATACGAATGAGATCGTCCGTAACCAAGTCACAAGTTCATGGCCACAAGTAAGTCTACTCTAGGACCGCCCCCCTCCCCAAACGAGCCCAGAACTTACTGGATGAAATCGTTGTAAAGTCGAATCCTTTCTATTGGCATTATTTCACCCAAACGTGCAGTCTTGAACAGATGGCCCCTCTTATTGTTGAAGAAAAGCACAAAACGGTGAGCATAAATGGTTCATTCTCCGTCTGAATCCCAAAGGAAACGGACAACAACAATCCCCTGACGACTCGCACAAAATATTTCAAAACATGACCAAACGCGCGTGCGCCGCAACCTTTACCAAATCTCGCGAGAACTGGCAAACGCGAGTTTTGGCGTGACTTTTCTAAGATCTCGCGAGAACCGGCCAACGCGCGAGATCTGCTGTAAACCTGAAGAAGTCAATGACCTCTGCCGTCCTTGGTGACTTGAGCTTTCCTTTAGCGTCCCCTGCGTATTTGGCCGGATTTGTAAACAACTTAAGTCTCCTGTAAACCTTAAGGTCTTCGTTGACCTTGTGTACGTATGTACGAATAAGTAGTGTTTCCGCTAAGCTCGGAGTTCGAGCCGAAACTGCCACTTCCGGTTGGCTTTATCTTGGAAGCGTCGTCCAGTCTACGTCTCTCAGAGGTATGGGCTCCAAGCCGTTCAAGATACGTGCAGCGAATGATACCCAGAAGTACGGAGTGGCGGCACAGGATCTCAACGATCTGATTGCAAAGGGATGCAAGGTTCTAAAGGTTAGCGTCTTCCTTTTACAACCGACAACCAGGTTACCTGAACTAACATCTGACCTAAACCAGGTTATATCTAGGTCAACTCCGGGCAAGTGGTTACCTCTACCGGTACTACAAGATCATACTAGTACTTGTTTGTTGGTGTGGCACTGGGTGTTGAAGTGAGGATTTTAAAGAAAGGAATACCCTGGCTTCGTATGTCAAAAGCTGCCTTACATTGGGCTACTGTATGCATGGTACTACCCTGGGTGCCAGCCAAGTTTACAGGCCGCTAACCGTTTTTTTCGGCAGCCAGGGTACTTCGCCCGCAGAGGAGTATATCGGCCCTCCAACTGTTTGGAGGGCGGCCAAACTCCCCCCGGGCTAGACTCCCCCGTAGCAGTAAATTTAGACCGGCGGGCGAAAGGCTCTTGCCGCCCGAAGAACGAGTTTGGCACCCAGGGTAGCATGGTACACTCTCTACAAATTTTGTTGAAAATGCATGTGCTACTACTATAGTCAGATCATAAGTACAATGTCATCATGTAAACATGTGTACATGTACACTCTATACACAATTGATGCAACCATCCTTATAGCTGCAATGTGCATTATGTAAGGTTAGGACGATACAAAAAGTCAATTTTCTTGCCATTTCTTTATATGATACAGTAATACATGTACATTTTTCTTTTAAAGTAAGTTGAATCAACTCCACAGTGTCCACACCAATGCAAATATCAAGTTTTGGTACAAACTGTTTCATGCTACACGTACAGCCTTAATAACTGGCCACTTATGGGCACAAAGGTCCACGTCTACAGCAGGTCCTTAGTGGTTGCACGACTGCTGTCTATTGTCAATTCTGAATCTTTTCATTTTGTTCAATCAGGAACAAATGTTTGTCTAGTCCATCCTTTTAATGTATCAAACTTGTATTGTTATCAAATTCTACTGATACGCAAACCATTGAATATTCATCTACGTAACTGTCACCCAATTCTCAATTTTTATTTACAACGAAAGCTTATTTATTTGTGTGATGCAGTACTGTAGTTTTTATCATGAAAGTTCATCTGTGTTGGTAGTTACATGTTTAAAGTTAAAACTTTTGATCCAACAGAAAGAAATCTCTCACCTAGAGCTTTCGACCAGGTCTTCCTCAGTAGACTGACCCAGTGAAGCTTGTCACATGGCTTCTTTGAAGTGTGACGTCAACACTGGGACTCAAAGGCATCTGGTAGACGATGTCGGCCCCCGTTGTGGGTCAATGAAGGTTGAGAGGTGGTTTTTGTTGATATTGATTAGTAAATGACTACCCATTCTCTAAAACCACACATTACAGGTCCCTATCAAGGGCTGCAAAATCTGCCTGCAGCAGGATGGAACTCTCATCAACAGCAGGGAATTCTTCCAAGCACTCCCGCCGCTCTCCGTCTTAGTCTTCCTCAGAAAAGGAGAGAAGTGGACTGGAGATGACTGTATGTATTCTTTTTAAGATTAAGTCTATGTTTATTTTAGTTTATCTATTGTGTACTCTCCAGATTTTTGTCCACTAAGCTAGAAAAAATTAACTAGATTTTAAGGTACTACCTACTTTACTTAGGTTATAGCCTAGGTACATGTACCATCCATGATTTTTTCCTAGCGTAGCGGAGCAAAATCCGGATGGTACCCAGGCTATAACCTTAAAGTTTAACTTAAACGTTAAATGAAAGAATACTACTTGTTAGTACAATGTACCTTAACATCTAAGTGTTAGTATGTTAGGAAGAGTAGTGTAAACACTGCCAGATGAATATACAGGTTTACCTAGTGTTCAATGTAGCTTGTATGGCCTTGCCATGGATAATTAGACTGCCTTTTGCATGTCAGAGCTTGGCTAGCCTTGCCATAATCCACTGAAACTGTACATGTATTTTTGATGTTTTGATCGGCTTCCTTCTTCCTGTCTTTAGTTGGGAAGATGATCCTGTCTCTGTTGGAAGCCCCTGAAGATCCTGTAAGGAAACAGCAGTTAACGGAGAGTCTTGAAGGCATGATTGCCAAGGAGTCGTCCCCAGAGAGGGTCCATGCCCTGAACTTGTACCTGCAGAGTCTTCCAGACAACATCGATGCAGAAACCAGGGAGGAGGACCCAGACTGGTTTGAAGGTACCTCTGTCTTATTGGACGGGTATCACTGGATGCATTTGACCAGTTTAAAAGAGAAAAAAGGGGGATTGTTACACCTACTTTCTTGAAGACTATTGTAATTACATACCCAAATGAATGAGAATTCTCGGTTACACACATTGACAAGCTTCAGGTCACCTCAGACATTGGGCAAAATTTTCACAAAACTTGTTCTTATCCAGGAACTGCAGGACCTAAGATTTTGGTGCAGGGCAGTGGAGGTCACAAAACCTTAGTCTTTTTAACCTGTTTAATTTTTGTTTCAAAAGCTGCGGATAGGATTATGGTACCACATAAAAACTACATGTATTTTGTCTTTATCATTTCCTTATTTCTCTCATAGCATATTGTCTCTGATTCTTCTTCAGGTTTAGAGAAGAGATATAAAACCAAAAGTCAAGTGATGGCCTGTAGTGCACAGGGGAGGATAAGAGGCTACTATTCAAAGGTAAGCAGGGTTCTTTTGTCTTTTTTTGAGATGGTATCTAACTAGTAGTAACTTAGACTCTAACTTCTAAGTCTAAGAAGAAATTAAGCTTAGATTTTGATTACTTACAATCTATTTGAAAGAAGAATATCAAACTTCATATATTTTAACTCAATCATCAGACTGAGGTGTGTTATTTTGCACAGAACTCATTCATGTCTGTTTAATTTAGACCAGGTGAAGACAATTTTCATTTTATTGACATTTTCACCACTAGACATGACATATTCATACTTTGGCAGACTGCCAACCTGCGTGCGTCATTTGTGAAAATCATCTTCCATCAACATTCAAACATGCTAACTATATCCTAACAACATACTTGCAAGATACAAATGTATTCAGGAACATGAACGTGCATTTTAAACATATCTAATATTTTAGGACAAGTTTGAATATGTTGCCAAACATGACAACATGTCCACCCGTGAATGCAAGCATTTAGTAACTAAGAATTCAACCATATTACTAGTACATTTCATGTCCTATATAGTGCTACAGGACATAAGCTTTTTTAAAAAGATTTTTGCCATTAATGCTTTTTTTTTCACTTATTAGTCTTTAACCTGCTAAAGTAGCAGCTTAGCACCAAATTTGTATTGAAATTCTGAATTTGGTGTTAGACAGAAAAGATAAGGTTAATCATAATGTTTAATGTCCCTTTTTTTCTTCCTTTGTCTTTTCAGACAAAAGAATATGTCTCCAACCTGGAGGATCCTGTAGCCAAAATAATTCTGAAGAGAGTGCTAGAAAACTTCCGGCCGTGTCTGAAGAACAACGGCTACCACGGTGACTACTTCAGACGAACGGCAAAGCCCAAGAAGCGGCTGTGCACGCAGGCGGGCTGGTTCGTCTGCCACGGTCCGTACAACACGAAGACATGTCAGGACAAACACATGATCAACCCGTACAGCAGCCGACAGAAGAGGGCAGTGTTCAGCACTTGGAACCTGGATCACAGGTAACGGTTTTCCCAGGGCAGTCAGCACTCAAAACAGAAAATTTTAAAAACCACTCAAGAATTTTATCCAACTAGACTGATTGGCCAGTATAATTTAACTAGTAAAATATGCAAAATCTATTGTGTGACTTTTATCATGTGAATTAGGTAGAGTAAATTGTAGTGAAATGATAATGATCTGTCAATATGTCATGATGTTTTGGTGCGGAAGGAATAGATGTTTAGTCTGGTACATAAAATGCAACAAATATAGATAGATGAAGAATATCATGCACTGATTGTTGGTCACATTATGTTTATTTTCCTGAAACTATGAATTGAGAGAAAATTGCTCGCGCTTGTGGATAAGAAATATGTGGTAAATATCTACATTTAAAAAAAAAACCCATTCATGATATCAACAGATGTAAGCAATCATTGTGGCATCCATGTTCATGTACTGTTTTTTTTATTCTGCCTTCTTCTTCTTCTCAGAGTTGAGAAGAGTCGAACCATCCTTCCCAGCATGCAGCAGGCTGCTGTTTCCTGTCCGAAGGGGAAACAGCTGAACTGGGAGTACTTCTACGAACTCTTGTTCACCACAGACAACCTCAAACTGGTGGAGATCAGCTGTCACAAGAAGGAAGCACACAAGGGGTATGAATGTGACGAGAAAAAGTACTACACTAGTAAATAGCAAGGTAGATAGTTCACACATAAGTCCGCATTTCATTTTGAATACTGTGTTTTCATTCAAACTTACAGTGTATTTGAATTCAGTAATATGGGCAATGTATTTCTTTTAGAAATCCCCGCTTCTGTTCATATTGTTCTGTTGAACACACAAACACATAAAGTGTATGATTATTGTACACATCATTTACTTCTATTCTCTTTGTAAATGTTTTACTTGCTTAAGAGTTGGTGTCAAGGTGCCTTGCCTGTGATACATTATACATGTATGTATGAGAACATACTTTTTAAGTTGTGTTTAGGTGGTTTGAATGCTATGCTATTACAAATGTAGTAGTATTATTGTCTTCTACTGTGCATTTATGAGGACAGTTTTGTTTTTATTTGACATAGCAGAAAAGTCTGCTGTGAAGTATAATCTATGGTTGATCGAGATACAATGTGTCTATTACTTCTCTGTGGTCTAAATAAATCCCATGTAAAAAGTGCCACAAACAGACTGTTTAGAATGTGTTTCTAAGCTTTTATAGAGCCCATCAGCAAGGGAGATACAAGACAACATTATTAACAAACAGTAGTTTGTAGAATTTCTCTGTGCTAAGCTACAGTACTGTATGCTTGTATGTATGATAGTGTTTCACAGAGAAATAGGTGCAATAGATGTACCCAATTGTTATGAACTAGTACTTAGATACATGTGGGAGCTGTATAGGTAGGTAAGGAAATGATTTTTAAGACATAATGTTCAAACAAATCTTTAATTGTGCTTGGCCACATTTTAATCAAGCTTTTACGGTTGTATAAATTATTAACAATTTTACTACCTTTTACATGGAATTAATTCAAATATCACAAATATCACACCTATACAATCATGATGTTTTAAGTATGGCGATACATGTACCTCATGATATGGTAAAAAGTTGATTAAATGAAAACTTCCAGTGCAAAAAGTTACTAAAAATTTACTAATGGGGACAGTCCCACTTTAAAACTAACCTCTTTAACAATACCTCCTTCCACTCGACATACCTCGTCTTACTACTAAAAGCATTTCAAGAAACCTACCTGTTTAAGGTCTTCCTTCTTTATTTCATGCTTCTTTGGTCCTCATTCAAATCAGGTTTGTCCCAACTATATTTTGCGTGGCATTACTTAATATATTATGTTTTAAAGACAGAAAAACATACAGTTGTATACATATAGAGAATGATGTATATCACAGGTGAGTCATACAGTTAGAAAGCCTTAGAATGAAGAAAACTAGTGGTGAATTTTTAAACTAGAAAACTTTGTTAGGGTAAAGGTTTGGTTGTACATTTTTGTGAGTATGGAAGCTGGAAGCATTACTTCCAAAACGTACCATGTAACAATGCTAATGTAACCCAGTACTAACTTTGAACTATTGTAGCTACTTTTTCAATAATATACTGAGCCAAGATGTCTTCGTCTTCTGTGGTTTATTCTGTTTTCTTGTATGTATGAGATTGTTTTGTTATGTGGCTGGTGGCTGAAAGACTTGAATGTCATGTATACATTACATGTATTTTGTAATCCTTTCTTCAGGTTAGGTTCATATGTTTTATACAAAGTTGGGGATATGATCAGATCAGTTTAAGGGTGTGTCATGTAGTGTGGGTGCAATCCTAGTTGATCTAAAAGAATGAATGAATGAACTTTATTGCTGGACAGTTGTACATGGTACAATGTATGGCAACAATAACACTGTATTAATACAATCAAGTCTATACTAAGAGACTACTAGTATTACTTAGGAATAAGAAACTACTAGTATTACCACATTTGTACTTAAATGGCGTATAACATTATGTGTAGGCGTTGAGTGTACACACACACACACACACACACACACACACACACACACACACACACACACACACACACACATGCATGCATACTCACACAAACGCACACATGCATACTAACACACGCCTCTGGACACACGTGCACCAACAGTCACGTTCCTTGACCTTGGATATCTGGTACTACAAAAAAGAGTCACTGAACTCTTCAAGAAACGTGTTTTCCTTGACCCCAACATTCCATTATGGTGCCTGCTTTTCAGATGGCTGGCATTTATCCTTCTTTGAAAGAAGATATAGAAAAAGGTGATAAAATGCCAAAAATACACGTATACGAGATTGTACGTGGGATACAAATCTCGCTTTGTTATAGCTTTATACAGTCACGTTTGTGTTATTTTCTAGCCAGATGACTGTGCAGTAATTATCTTAGCTAGAGGGCATATTTACGTCTGGCAATTTGTCCCATTCACGAGACAACATTCCTCTTGTTGACAAGAAGATCCCGAAGTTGTCGTCTGCTGTACAAACAGGCCGGTTTTATAATCCGTGGATGGGACAGTAAGTAGGTCGATATATTTCGGTTGCATAGATAAAGGTGTTAGATACCCTATAAGTAACTATCGTCGTAACGTAGCTGGCATGTATGTCTGCTTAATTTAGCTGTACGAACGTACAATGTACATGTACTCATAGACACTGATGCAGCAATCCCTCCTAGCTAGTTCAGCTGTTAAAAACTAGATAGAACCACCCCGTTACGGACTTGTCACGTATACAATGTATAGTAACGACGAGATACCAGTTTTTTTGCTAGTGGCAACGTTTAAAGGATCATTATCTAGAGATCCATTTGTCAACATAGCGACATGTCAAAGGCTAATCCGTACTGTATGCTAGAAGGGCACTCATTACCATTACTAGCTATTGCCGATAATGACTACATTGTATATGTGTGGCGAGTACAGTTAGCATATCTCAGAATGTATAGAATTAAGATCAACTTTTACACGAAGACATCCTTATGAACAAAAGAGACTTTTAGAATGACAAGATAAATACCAGTCGATATGCCTGGGGGCACGGCGACATGACGAGGTGAGGTCATCACTGACTCATTGCACATTTTCTAAAGACCGGCTTTGTACACATGATCGTTTGTCACATCTGCAAAATGCCATCCCGCTTCACCAAATATTCACGACATTTGGACTGTGTAGCCCTTCGGAATATAAAAGGAAAAGTCAAAATCCTTTATGACCTAAAGTCCCATGCATATGGTTGTTCATGTAGTGTCTTTAGCATTTTCGGCAAATAGGCCTAAAAATACAAACCCCTAGGCCTTCTAAGCCTGCTTTCGCCATTTCGTCATTGCCCATCCTCAAAGAACTAAATATAGCAAGTTGATGTTCGTTTTACCTAATTCATAGCCTGTAATCATAGTGATCAACTGCGTGTTCAATTATGCTTTCAACAATCGTAATGACTTAAATCTAAGAGATGAGACATGTTCTTACACCTATCCCTTTTTGTGATCACGTCAATTTGTGTCCAGAGGATTCAGCCCACAGAATTGAAACTTACATGTATCAAAGACATATTACGATATAGGGACTAAGTATAATCTTAAGTCTTGTCCTATATACTACTATTACTAGTACTAGTAAATGTATGACTCAAGTTGCATGAATATGTAAACTATCCATGCATAAAATGCTCCTGCTTTCTTGCATTCCGCTATGCAGGTGTATGTACGACTTCCACTCGTAGCCAACGCTAGTGCATCATGACATCAAAACATTTCCTCAGCTTGGTGCTCGTGATTCTGCTGAGTGCCTCCAGTATGGTACAGGTCTCAGCAGAAACCTGCGCCGAGGTATGCGAGGAATGTCTGGCGGATACGGAAGTGACGCAGGGTGATATCAACGGGACGGCATGCGCGGAGGAATGTTTGAAGAACATACACCTAGGCACTGATAACAAACAGTTCATCAGGGCACCCATGTGGAAGAAGTGTTACACACTGATACACGAACTGTAAGTGTTGATCTGAACTATATGCATGAACCATAAGTTTGTTAGGATGACATGATGATTAAAAATTGAATAGGTGGTAGATGAATTATTGCCCAGTTATCAAAAAGATATTTGTGTTAGAACTTAGTGTCAAAAGTTAGACTAGTCAATGACTCATATGCTATATCCATTGTCCATCCTTTTTATGTCTATGTTACATGTCCTTGCAATTAACTCCGGACAAGAACTAATGTAGTAAACTTTTTATCATCTTGAAACCTGTTTAAATTTAAAACTTCAAGTGATCCAACACAATAAAGTTCTCTCACCTATAGCTTTCGACCAGTCACTCTGGTCTTCCTGAGTAGACTGAACCAGTGACGCTTGTCATGTGGCTTCTTTGAAGATCTTTGAAATGTGACGTCAACACTGGGTCAAAGGTATCTGGTATTCAAAGAAGCCACGTGTCGACGTGAGAAGCCTGACTGGGTCAGTCTACTGAGGAAGACCAGAGTGACTGATCGATCGAAAGCTCTAGGTGAGAGAACTTTTAAATTCTTGTGTCAATGACTTTAAACATGTAACTCACCAACACAGATGAACTTTCATGATAGTATCTTGAAACTTGTTGACAGGAGAAGTAAGCAGGGTCCATACCTGATCATGGACTCAGAGCCGCGCACACAGACATGGAAACCGGCGCTCGCCGTCTGCTCCGTCACGGTGCTGGTCGCCTTCATCGTTATCGCCATGGTGACCATCAAGGTCTGCGTACGGCGAGCCGTCCTCCGGAAACAGTACGTACAACTTTTTTTTTTTATTCCAACACGTAATCACCAGACGTGGTGACGGCACACTCAAGTTTTATCAACTTACATTAGTGCGCCACCAACACAGGGGACAAATACATGACAGGACAATACTCATTTTCACCTGAGCGAAGTGAGGAAAGTCGTGTAAAGATCGGTGGCATGTCAGGACTCGAACCCGGGACCTCTCGGTTCCGAGTCGCGCACTCTGCCGCTACGCCACACGACCTCAGCTGCATATGTGAAATAAACAGACTAAATGTAATATTACTGAATGTAATATTACTGTCCTTAAAAACACAATAGATTAGCTTTAGTTTCACTATAGACTAGCTCTGATAGAATCCTATGTTAAGTATAGTTCATGCGTAGTCTCTGTTGTTCCCTTTTTGCCATACATTGTACCAGTTACAGTTGTTGAGCAATAAAGTATTACCGCGAGTTTTATATGAAGGCTAGTGTGTAGTGATCCATGACAGTCAATACGACTTTCATCTGCTTGACCCGACATATAATATTCATTTATTTATAATAATAATATAATAAAATACCAACGGTCCAAAAAACAACAACATTATTTTGCAGTGCCACTCTCAGACAACTATCCTAACAGTTATCATGAAAGTTCACCCGTGTTAGTAGTTACATCTTTAAAGTTAAAACTTTTGATCCAACATAAAGAAATTGTCTCACCTAGAGCTTTCGACCAGTCTTCCTCAGTAGACTGACCCAGTTAGGCTTGTCACGTGGCTTCTTTGAAGTGTTACGTCAACACTGGGTCAAAGGTATCTGGTAGACGATGTCGGCCCCCGTCGCGGTTGAGTGAAGGGTGGTGGGCCCTGATCTAACAATCCTATGTGTTACTAATATTGTGTGAACATTGTACTTCAAGAATACTGAGGTGCGAATTCACAACTTGATAAATGAAATGTCCATGTGTTGTTCACCGAAGTTTTCTGTCTGTGACAGCGGCGGTCGTCAACCTACCAGCCCGAACGGCACCATGACAAGTACTGCACTGATGGCAAATATGGAAGAGGAGGAAACGCAAAAGGCCAGGCCTGACGACGTTCAAACAGTCTGATGGGGCAAACCGTTTTCTGGACATCCGCTGAGCTTTTGTTATCGTCGTAGTCGTCTCCATATGGCTAATTTACTTCTAATAAACTCGTATTTTCCAAGAACTATCGTAGAGTGGAAGTCGTTGCCACCAAGCACAGTTGGGGCATCATCACTACAAAGCTTTTTATTAAACAACTTCTGCAATTAAACGTGCAACGATTGTGTGTAACAAGTCGTTCGGTGTGATATACTAGTAGCTAGCTGCCGCCGCGCCGCGTGCCTGCGAAGCTGGTGTGTTACGCCGATGGGCGGCTGTACCGGCTATACTTAATGAAATATTCTTCTGTACAACCTGTTCAGAACTACTAGTAGGAGTAGCTGATTGCTCGTTTGACTTGTAATTGAACTGGCCGTCGGTTGGGCTTCCGGATGACGACGGAATTCTAGAGGCGCATACTCCTCCTTGTGTATGATTACTTAAATATGAGTATTTAAGCTACATACGACAATACTAGTAGCTCCTGTGATCCAATTAATAAAGCTACCGTATTACCATGAAAATCCATGTGAGTCTAATTTATCATTGATATTTGAATATTACTGTATGTCATCATCATTAATGGTATTAAAAATGCTGTGACATTAAAACGCATATCGATATATTGCACAGTTTTACTATCTATTTTGTTACAAAATGAAGATGACAGGGCACTGTCTATTTTATCTACTCAAACAAAACCTGCAATGTTTAATATCTGTTGTATGAGGCACAAAGATAGCTAGTAGTACATTGTACGGTAATGGGAGTTCGCCTATACGTGCCACTCCCATATATATGTCAAGGGTGACTCTTACATACATTGTAGTTATTGTATTAGTATGACAGACAGGGACGGGTAGGTCACCCTCATTTAGGCGGGAGTGTCACTGGTTTTAGTTCAGTCCTGTGCGATCTCTGAAAGTCTCATATACTTCAGGTGAGAATATTTCCTTAGTACAACTTCTAGATCCTCCAAGAAACTGCTTTCTGCGTAGAAACGAACAACAATATGTAAGGTCCTTGGTTTATGGGAATGAGAAGTTAATGGACAAGTAATGTAATGTGTGCAGTGACTGTAAAAATTCGACATACTTCATGCGACATAGTGTGCGTGACATACCAGTCGAGTTTTGAAATAATACTGAACTGGGACATGGCCGTAGTATACAAGGAGAAAAATTAATTATTACCGAGAATTGTGTCCCATATGTCAAATTTAATGTTCGTTGTAAGTAATGGCGACCATGACACCTGGTATGTCTTTGTCTATGAACGAGTTATTTTAGGATACAATTATCTCTATCTGGATGGTGATCAAGGACGTCTGAGTTGTTATAACTATCTGCTTCGTTGTTTACCCTGCAGGTAACCGTGAGAGAACACACCAGAACAGTGGAGCAGCACATCAAAACCTCCAAACGGTACAGACGGAAACTGTTGAGGCAATTAGTAAACACAGGTAGACCTCGTCTCACAAGACCACAAGGGCGCGGCTGTCATCATGTCCCAGCGGACTGCCTGTGTACATGTATGTCTCCTTCTACTGGTGTGGGCTACTGTCGGTGTTCAGGCACAGAACTGTTCAGAAAAATGCACCGACTGTGCCTCTGACACCAAGAGTAACATGACGGACTTCAACAGTACCGTGTGTACACAGCAGTGTGAGCAGGGTCTGAACAACGGGACGATGTGGAAATACTGTCGCGAGATGTAAGTTTTCATCGCCGGTTTAATAGTTCTTATAAACCTGCTTTTCTAAACAATTCTCCTGTGTCACTGACGAAAGGTACTACCTGAAACGTCTGACTGTGTCTACAATCACATCCAGTTGCTTGTGTAACTGTTTTTTTTTGGCGTATTTTATCACCATTGTTTACACTTACACGTACGATGAACTTTGACACAGACATGGGCCTCGGGGCAAAATGACATTTACTCATACCTACATAATCATACATGTACATGGACTAACTAAATGCGAAAAGTTTCCAAGCAAAATCGTATTGCAGAAAAACACTGGGGCTTTAATCATGTTATATAAACAAACATTAGCACAGACCTGATTATATAGCACATTCATTTAATTAGTAGTATTTGTAAAAGATATGGTAAAAGACGAGTTAAACTAGAAAGGCCAATATTTGCTTTGGAGCAAATACAGCGATGGGTTCACCACATTTTACGACATGGCAGGGAAAGAATGAGAAACACAAGGGAAAACAATGATTTACATTGATATAACTATAATATGAAGTAACATACAACTAAAACAACAGTTGGATAGCTATTCCCTACTTTATTGGTTAGGATTTTTAATTGCATAATGCAAACTGTTGATTTTCAAAATAAAAAAAACGTTCATGCCCCGCATTCCAATGCTGGAGCAGAAAAGCTTGAAATACCTACCAAAACACTTGAATAAAGACATATACTGTCAGTATGGAAATGCTCTGTGCAGGTGTTATTAACAATCACATAAACTATGAAGCCATACATTGAATAAGCTATACATATAATATGATTATCATAACCTTTATTTTTAAAATCATGCCAGTGAGCTAATTGCATGTACAGAGTGAAAGAAAGTAAAGTAAAGCAGTAGAATTTCTGTACTAGCTATGATAGTACTTCATATGATTCGTCCTCATCGTCATCATTCAATGTGGTCTATCTCTTGCTACTAGTGACTGGTAATACCTCTGTAGATTCTTCACACTGGCAGAGTACCGTACTCATTCTCTCTTGTCAGCTCAATACTTTTGTGACAACATCAAAGTGATTTTAGTTTGTATGTTGGAAAAATACAAAAGACTAACATTCTAAGTTATTGACATTCTTGAGTAAGAACAATCAGTTTTTGAATGTTAAAAGCAAAACAACGAAAATAAAAAAAATGTTGAAATTGTTAAAATGCAGAATTGTTAAAATCGTTAAAACTGATAAAATTGTTAAAAATTATAAAATTGTTAAAAATGTTAAATTGCTAAAAATATTTATGTCCGATGCACTGGGGTTCGAACTTGCAATGCCTGGGATTGCCGCCTTGCGCGTTTCCAACCGAGCTAACTCGGTGCGATACACATCACTCACTGCATTGTATGTCATAAAAAGTAAACAGCATGGCGGTATCGATCGCCTCAAGCCACCAAGACTTTCAACTATTAACTACGGGGTTTCCTTCTTTATCAGGTTTGCTTTTGAACCACCTTGATGTTACTTAACTATCAACCCGGCTAGCAGAAGCCGCCGGCTCCTTTGATATTACAGCCGCTCCCTGTCCAATCTTGTTTACACGCCGGGCGCAGGTCATTGACCTCCAACTTGCGTTGTTCCAACAGAGAAGAGCAAAATGTCTGGCTCCCGCAGAACGTACCGCACTCTCCCGCTGGACGTACCGCACTCTCCCGCAGAACGTATCGCACTCTCCCGGAGGACGTCCCGCACTCTCCCGAGGGAAGTCCCGCACAGCGTCCTGCACTCTCCCGCAGAACGTCCCTCGAAAATTGATGCGTATTTCGTGGCCTGTGCTGTACCTACCAAAACACTTGAGTTCATACTGTCAAAATGGAATGGCTTTGAACAGGTGTTAATTGAGTTAATCCAATCAAATCCAACAGCCAATCAGCAAGAAGAAAAGATTAGGCTGCGTCAGGTTCATGCTTGCATGCCCATATATGGGCATGCCGCCGAATTTCTTTCTTATTACGTCACGCGCGTACGCCCCCGCACAGTACTTTCCTATGGGGACCGCTAAAAAAGCAAATAAAACGATTGTAAAAGCTTGTATCACAAAAATTTAAAAACGCCTAGGGGTATTTGCCCACTGTACCTCCATACCAAATTTCAGGACCTTAGGCCCTAAAATGAAGAAGCTGAATCCATTTAAAGAAATGGCAGGAGGAGAAGAAGGAGGAGAATCATGAGAAAAAGCAATATGGTTTCACCACTTTGTGGTGAACCCATAAAAAGAGTGATGCTAATGCGTAGTGTACTTTTAGCCCAATGAATTATCATATATTTAATAAGTGAAAAAATGAGTTAACACCCCTTTAACACATTTTTTTCACAAGTACGAGATTTCATACAACCTCTATCAAACTATGAAAAATGAGTTATGGGGGGTCTTAACTCATTGGACTGTTTCGAGATTGTGTGATTTAATATTGTTCGTTTCAATTGTTCCGCTACAGAGCTTCATGGGATATAGCGAGGGGAGATATCAAACGAGGCGAGGGTGAAGTGAAGAACAAGAGTTCGGGTCTACAGTGGCAGTACAGTCTGGCTATCGCACTGGGCGTCATGTTTATAGTTGTCTCTGTCTTTGCTGGGATGTACTGCTATTGGCGGAAGTTCAGGTCAGTACATGCTGCTCTTATTCCAACTGTATTAAAACATGCTGTTGAGTTCAAGACAATAAAAACAACCAGATTTTTACAGTACAAGAAAATACGTAATGTTTTCTGCGAGCTGCATATTTGCCCGGAATACCACAAAAGCATTCAGTACATGTACATGTACACGGACGGAATATGGGCAAAAAACCTGGGCAAATACATCTATATTGAAACTTCCTTCATTCTTACATGTCATACCGTGGGCCTCAATGAAGTTCAGGTTCCTATCCTTATTGCCAATACGCAACAAAGGTAAACAAAGGCAACTATACTACTGTTAAACAGTGCCCTTGCATACTAATGGTCATGGATAGTCCCAACTCAACGGCATTGTCATCGGTACTTGACTGAGACCTCCCCCGCGTCGCTTCAGACCTTTTCTCCTCTGCATCTCCTTAGCGTTGTTCACAACCTTGCGGATGTGCATGTACACCGTGTTGCTGTTCAACTGTACGAAGGCATTCGCCTCGGGAATGAAGAACAAACCACACATGTCCTTCCAGCAGTCATCGTCTGCGATCAGACGTCTTTTCCTTTCGTTGTTGCTAGCCTCGTAGTCATTGGTGCCTGGCGAGGGCTTGAAGCTTCCGTTTCCCTCCCACTGGAGACAATATAGAAAAACTTTTGCTTGCAAATTCATGCCCGAAGGCTAATGCATGTACGGTGCCAAGGAGAGTAAAGTAAAACAATGTAGAACATACAATTACCGTCTAATCAGCTACATGGTACTACGTTTTCTATTGTGAATTTTACTTCTTCTTTGAAGGCAGTGGATAATGAATAGTCTCACGTTCTGCATATTGAGTGGGTTTTGTGATCTTGGTAGAATCTTGTAGTCTTTTGGTAATCTTCTAAGAATTATGTTGGAAATCTCTTTCTGCCGGTCTCGTGGTGAATAAACAAACTTAATAGCTGAACACAGATGAAAAGGAACAAGAGATGAAATACATGCACAACTGTAAATGATTCTCTAGCCAATCACAGAACATCTCTCATGGATACAGGCTAAAACTTTTTGCCATAACGTAACATTCCACATAAATCTACATCTGTAATGGTCAGACCATGTCTCCATTGACACACATGCTGGTATAACATCAATTGTTAAAGGTACCTGGCAATGCTTCCCAATAACTTGAGGATATAGAAACATAACGCACCTCTTCCTGCTCCACTCGCTGCCGTACTTTCCTGTGTAGTCGGTTCCAGATCTCCACGATACTTTTCGCTGTGGGGCTGGTGGGGACGTACTTCAACAGCTCCTGTTTACTCAGCAACCGCCTTCCAGCTATGTCCACTCGCGGTACTTTCTTGTGCCTGGATTCTGTAGAAACATGGGCATTGTCACACAATCCTAGAACCTTGAAGGATAATCATACATGAATATGATAGTGAACAGATGTTTTCATATCATTTGTCATCAAGTAGTACCTTTGCACAGGGAAGCCATTTGTAAAAAAAAATCACAAAACCTTGTCAGTTTGCTAATGAAGCTCTTTAAGCATTCTACATAACCATATCCAATTGACAAGCTACAATTAATTTCATAATATAATGCTGCCTTTTTATGTGACGTTACTCATCTAGATATCTCTCTACTCATACATGATTTATAATATTACTAGCTACTCAAATAATAATCAGTAGTAGTATAAGTTGACCAGACAGTAGTTATATGTCTTGTGTTGCTTTTCTTTACTTTCTTTGACTATGTGCAAGGAATTGGTATTCGGGCATGATTTTCCAAATGAAGATTATATTTATGCTTGTTTCCCCGTTTCCAGGCGTGGAGAGGGTCCTCGCAATCGCCGCTGCTCATACACAGAACAGCCCATGTCAGCCGATCCAGTATAACTGCACTTACGCTACACAAGTGTTGTTCATGGACCCACCAACAACAGGGTCCACACAAGATTTTACTCTGTAGTTTGTGTCCACTCCTTTTGATATGAGAATTTTGTATCCAGAATGGCTTGAAACAAAGTAAAAAAAAAATAACAGGCTCCACCCTAGCTTGAGGTATTGCCAAAAGCTTTAACTTAAGCTTCTATTCAGTGTATATTTTAGACTCAGTTTACTGGTGAAATTATACCTGCAAATGATGCAATAGAAGAATACTGAAAAGCATGAAAATTTTGCTGTGTTTTTTTACAGGTTTTGGAACGCACCAAATACGTCTTCCTTGTTAATGCTCAGGACAAGTAAAACAGTGAAAATCTTCGTTAACCTCATACCCAAAATAAAACCACAGCAAAACTTTCACGATTTACAGACCGATACATTCGATGCTAGACGCAGGAAATTGTGTTATTCCTTCATCAATAGACTTTACGCCACCAACAATAGTATTATAATATGCTGTCTATTGAGGTCTGACTGTCAGTTCAGAAATACGTATTTTAAAAATGTGTATAAATTGTTGTATGTTTAGTGTTCATGTGATTTTATGTTTGTACTATGGGGATAACCTGAAATAGTCATTCATTCACTCATTATCAGCAGGCAAATAGTCATGATGAGCACCATATTTTGTAGCACTCCCCAAACATGGTTTTTGTATTGTTTTGTCACACAGCTTAACACTTGAGAATTATGAGCTCTAGATGCACTGATTGTCACTCAACTTAAAGTTCAACAATTTTATTGACAAATTAAGACAATAAAACAAATAATCTGCAGATATCTGTGAAGAAATCTGGTGGAAAGAACAATAATATTAAGCTTAGCATACATGTAGATTGCTGTATTGCAACAACTGAATTCAATACAATGTACAGAACTGGTTGACAAAAAGGCGACAGAATCAAGAATTGTATGTTGGCAAAAAGAACTGTCCATGTCAATTTTCTCTTACTTGACATTTTTTTCCTCTAACTTACATCAATCAATAAATAAGCATGGTATGGACCTGTCACTAAGCTGATATTGGTAAACTGAAAGTGTCTTGAAGCTGATTATACAGAATGATCCATTACGTTTCTTCTGAAATAGGCTACAAATGTGTTGGGTACATCTATTTGCATTCAACATCTACTTCTAAGGTGTAACCCTAGTGTTCTTCCAGACAATTGACATTCCATGTTAATGCTTGCATCATATATACTGTTTACAACATTTTTGCAACTTTACAGGGGTGTGCACAAGTCTTAACAATGTTAGGGTACTTGATGTGGAGCAAAAAACATATTTAATCATCTTATTGCAATGAGTTGATGTGAATAAAAGTTTTTGTTTCTTTGCAGCACATGTGTAGGATTGTCTTGAACATTAAAAATTTTTATGAAGATCAATAAATATAGTTTATCAATCATGATTGATCACTATCATATGCAAAACAAAGTAAGGTTGTACATTGTACATGCAGTACACAATGCATAATTATTAATGAAATTAATCTATCAGCTTATTCAGCTAACATACATGCATATGTGCCATAAATATTGAGTTTCAATGACATAATAAATAATGTTGGAGAAAAGAAATAAACCAAAGAATCAAATTTGCTTAAACCCTTTATACCTTCATTGGATTGGAGTTATGTCCGTGATTTACACGGAGGAAACACATGAATATAAATAAAAATTCATAATAATGTTTCAAACCACACATGACCGTCTGTAAAATGTAAGCTTTCAAAATCTACTTCTAAGGAGTAATCCCAGTGTTCTTCTTCCAAATAATTGACATTCCATGTTAATGACTGCATCATATTTTCAGCTTATTTTCAGTCCTTCTCAAAATGTCTTGAAGTTCTCCTTTCATTCCACACCTCTGGTTGGTATATCTTCAGACTGCACTTTTCCTCATGCCTCTTCATCTGTGAAGGCTTCGTGAACCCCTTCCCACACTTGGAACACTTGTGTGGTACATACTTAATGTGAACAGACTTATAGTGCTGAGTCTTGGAGCTAACATGGGTGAAAAACTTGTCACATCCGGGCCAGTCACATTTGAAGGGTTTTTCCCCGGTGTGAGTTCGTAGGTGGTTGGTCATCTCGTACTTGTCGCGGAATGTCCGGTCGCATCCGTCCTCGGGGCACGTGTAGCGGTCCCGCTTGCGGTTTCGCTTTTTCCGCGGAGTACCAGACGATGATTCCTCTACGTTACTGAGGTAGTTCCACATGTTGTTTGGTAAACAAGAATCTGCAAAAACACAGAATCAACACAAATGTTACTCACATGTAACATAGTTCTTAGCCCTTTACATCACTTAGCTACAGCTGACAGTGAATTTTGTAATAACTAATCTACTGGATACCCATACTAGTAAGCTGGACTTCTCAACATCAGTTAGCAATATAGAAACCAAATGATGTGTAGAATGAATACAGATTGATGTTATTCTTTCAAGACTGTGTGCTAAAATATGTACCTATTCCATGCTTTGCAAGATTTTGGTTATCAAATAATAGAATACCTCACACGTTAAAATCCAAACTAGTTTTCAACCTGTGTGTCTCACAAACTATATGTTGGCAACTATTCATACCAGGTGTGACTATGTGTATGTGGCAACAATACAACCTATACAATATAAAAAGAATTGTTCACAACATTCATCCTGATACAAAATAATCTGTAAGTTTGTGTGTGTAACAACATCACTACACTCATATGGATCCTGATACAAAATAATGTGTGACAACAAACTAGTGCTCAAAACACTTGGGTGAAGAATCGTTTATTGATTGAGAATGACAATAACAGACTAAAGAATCATTGACTGTGAATACAATTTTAAAATGAGTCAAGGTCTTCATACCTCATTAACTACAAGATATCCCATTGCCACCCTCAGGACTGGTAAGGGTCTCTATCATTGCCCCTGGTTGCCTGAGCTGGAGCTAGAACACAAGGGTACATACATGTATGGCTTCAGTAGGGGGAACAGCATGGCATGGGGTCTACACTACAGTAGGGGGAACAGGAAGGTATGGGGTCTACACTACAGTAGTGGGAATAGCAAGGCATGGGGTCTACACTACAGCAGGGGGAACAGCAAGGCATGGGGTCTACACTACAGCAGGGGGAACAGCAAGGCATGGGGTCTACACTACAGCAGGGGGAACAGCAAGGCATGGGGTCTACACTACAGCAGGGGGAATAGCAAGGCATGGGGTCTACACTACAGCAGGGGGAACAGCAATGGGGTCTGCACTACAGCAGGGGGAACAGCAAGGCATGGGGTCTACACTACAGCAGAAGGAACAGCAATGGGGTCTGCACTACAGCAGGGGGAACAGCAAAGGGGTCTGCACTACAGCAGGGGGAACAGCAAGGCATGGGGTCTACACTATAGCAGGGGGAACAGCAAGGTATGGGGTCTACAATACAGTTACTGTAGGGGGAATAGCAAGGTATGGGGTCTACACTACAGTAGGGGGAACAGCAAGGCATGGGGTATGGTTTAATATTGTCTGCACTACAGTAGGGGGAACAGCAAGACATGGAGTCGGCACTACAGCAGGGGGAACAGCAAGGCATTGGGTCTGCACTACACAGAGATCCTTATAATTCACGAACTACATGTATGAGTAATGTTTACAAACGGAACTATCAAATATGACAAGCAAAATAAGACCTAAGATCAACAGAGAATCTTTGCTATCACTGAGAAGCTAATCTGTAGTGGATAATGCTAAGTATTGTTATTTTCAGCTATACTATATTACAATTTGTAACAGTTGTGATACTTTTGCACAGTCAAAAACATTTCCATCACTGAATCAGAAGATACTGGTAACATAATTAATATACACTTAAACTTCAGTGAATAAATTTCTATGCCATGCCCCAGCGTGGTTAGTCTATATTTTGCTCATTACCTAGTTCCCCTGTGCCTGCCATAGAGCTGGCCACTGGAACTAACATGAACAAGCTCGGGTTTGGAGTTCCATCTGTGAAGCTGGCAGAACTGGAAGCTGCTGCAGCTGAATGGACTGATGACGACTTGGGTGCTATGTTTACTGGAGCCAGTGTGCATGTGGTGCCATGTACAGTTGGAATGGGCAGGTGTTCATGGGAACACAGCCTCTTACTGCAGGGCAGGTCTCCACGTAGTGGCCTTTCCTGGAAAAATGAAGAAAATTTTATGACAGGAATCCTTTCTTATTTTCCATGCTATAACAATAAACTCATGATGTGACTTCCCTACAAAAGTTTTCAAGTCTTATAAGTTATATATGACAAGTTGACTGACTTTACATCACAGCATTGTGTACCATCTGCCAACTGATTTTACTCATGTTTGCCATATATTGTATGAAAGAAATTATATTGTAATTTGTAGCTCTTAGATAGCATGCAAAGTACCATGGTGACTACACATGTACTCACAAGTCAGGTAGAATAATTACCGGTATTTGATTTGTAAAAAAAAATTGAAAGTCATCTATAATTATTGTACTAAATGATCTACCTACATGTCAAGGTTATACTTGAGTTCCCTCACCTTGCAGACAGAAGCAGCAGTGTAACGCCCGTCCAGCCCGATCATATCCGCTAACTTTGACATAATGGTGGCAAAATAGTTGTGTCCAACAGGCTGTGCACTGTACCACAGGTGGCTCTGACTAGGGTTTGTTACAGGCCTGAAGTAGAAAGGTCCTTTTGGAGGAATCTTACTGAGGTATAACTGGTACAGGCTGACCACACACCATGGGTTCCCTGGAACTGCATAGTAGGTATACTCTTTTCCCTGGGCTTTTTTCTTGCGTCCTTGTCGAATGAACTTGATGAACTGCCCTTTGTTGTCTTGACCGAAGCTGAACTGTGACACGGTCAAACTGTGGTGCTCCTCTCCGGTCCAGACGCCAAATAACTTGCAGTTGTGGTAGTACACGGCGTACAACAGTCCCTGTGAAGTGTTTAAGTCAAAAACCTTTCTCCACAGCTCAACCTCATCTTCTTCTGTGAACTCCTTCACTCCAGACTTGGAGATCCCCTCCAAGTGGCCGTAGAGTTGTTTCTGGTTGAGAAGGGCGTTTCGCACGTCTGCGAACTGTGGATTGCTGGACATCAGCTCCAAATGGTTGATTCCCAGGTCCTCCTTGATGTGATGGTCCAGCCCGTGAGCGAGTGTGTGTAACGTACTAGGTGTGTAGGGTTTCCCATCCTGCTTCCTCACTTCGGTAAGGTACTTGCTGACCCAAAAATTTGCCTCCGGTGGGGTGACTCTTGTCCAATCGGTGGGAGCTAGAAACCTTTCGCAAGGTTCTTTTGCTAACAGCTTTCCGTTTTCCTGCTCGGCCCAGACCTTGTAGGCGTTAGCTGCCCACTTCACCGGGTAGTTGTGAGCACATAGCTGCTTCCTGCGTCTGTACCGGTGAGCTTTTACGTCTTTCTCATTTGATGGCATGGAGTCCTCCTCATCAGAGCATTCCTCCCCAACTTCTTCTGGAGTCTGGCTTTTCTCAGGAAACTTGTCTTGACTAGCATGACCCGGAGCGTGGGAAGGTTGTGATGAACAGATGAGCTGAAGAGGTAGGTCTGTAGAAAACAGACGTGCAGGACTTATTAAGCCTAAAGTGTTGGGTAAGTGGTAGTGCGTTGTAAGCCTGTGAAGCTCATGTATTAAAAATATGCCCAATTTTACCTACACAAGTGAGCATTTGTGATTGTCTTGTAACAATTTGATATATTAAGGGTATCAATTTTATCTTAATGTTTTAACTTAATGGAATATTCATTCGTGGTCAGGGCTGTTTATCTTACTGAAGCGATTACGATTGTTGAAAATAGAAACCTTACAGTACAGCTTGCACCAAATATATCTAAACCAATAACTTATAATTATAGTTATACAACACCCAATTCTATGGTCTGGTCTTACATCTATATTGGCTAGTGTTCCAATCGTGCATCATAAAACCTTTGACCTGCAAGTATTGGATGTGATAGTACTTATATATAATGGCAACATTGGCCAGTAAAGTTGGCAAAATACATGTAGTAATAACTAGTTTATGAGTTTGAAAATACTTTATTTCAAGTCAATCCAAGTTATGTAGTTCACATTTCAATCATGTGAAGGATTGGTCAAACTAGTTTTTGTACTATCAGGAAGCTTACAATTAGCCAACATTATAACAAAAAAAAATATTCCTTGATCTATGAAACACAAAAGTTGTCAGTATAAAAATAGTATATCAACATCACATTACTCAATGCAGGACAACAGTACTAGTGCCCTTTTATACATTATAAGTTATAAAAAAGTAAAACCATGAAAAAAAAAAGAATTGCTGAGTATGAAATTGGATTATCCTCTAATAGTGGTTTCTTGCAGAACTAGCAATCCTTTAACTTTAAGAATTTCAATCAGCAATCACTTCTAATGCACACTCAATCTTATTTACTATTTTTGCTATTATCAGTCATTTACTATAATCATCATGCCAACATGGCATCCAGTAACAACTTCAGTTGTCTAAAACAAGTTCCAGACTGCACAAGAGCTGTTACAAAAAATCAGGAGCTCTAGAAAAGAAATCCAGTCCAGTTTTGACAGATGTTACTCCACATCAAGTATGGTTCCTATGGCTCAGTAGTAGTAAATTCATCTTCTCTGGGTACCCCCATGGCCTTTAGATGTCTCCCCCAGGCATCAATGCGTCTTCTACAGTTTGTCCACATTGTCTCCTTGTCTTCCTCCTTACTGTACACTTTCTCCACATACTCTCTTATCCTGTCTATTTTCACTGGGTTGAGTGCTGTTTTCCCCCTCCCCTGCACGTTACGAGAAACAAGCTCCGGTCCGCTGAACATGATCTTGGCACATCGCGTGGCGAAATGCGCGGGGCCGTTACTGTGCAGGTAGATCTGATGCAGCTTATCGTCAGAGAGCTCCTCGCAAAGTTTAGGTGAATTAGGCTTCAGCCAATCGAACGACTGGCGTGCCCTCTTAGCAGGAGGCGGATTTGACACAACACTGCTACTGGTGGTAGTGTTCGTGCTGGAACTGGCATTGGTACGGCCCGCAGCGGTGGTCTCCAGCATCTGAGTAACGGTTGCGATGAACTGCGTCTGTCGTGCCTCCAGTTCGCGTTGTCGCTTCGCCATCAGTTGGACTGCCTTGAACGTTTGTTGCAGCATGTCCTGTGGCGGCTGTTCTGTGTCAAGCAGTCTATCAAGTTCTGAAAAGGGAGAGGATTTTCTGTTGGTTTCTCCTTTTTCATGCACTGTCCTACTATTTGTGCCATTTGTTTTTATATCATGTAAAATTGAAACCTAAGTCTATCCCATTATATTTTAATGTCTTATTACTTCCCTCAGCTCTACAGAAATGTTCTTAAACACAACTCATGCAACAGCAGTTTTTGGTTTGGATTTGAAGGCATATACATTAACCACTTGCAATTGTTAATGATCAATTACACCTTTCTGTGTCTGTGAGGTGACGGTTACCAATGGACACAAGCTGTACTGTGTGCACCTTTTGTCTAACTTTAAAACAGATCTGAAGACATATAACATATGTCTGTAACATTGCTTTAGTATAGACTACTAAAAGGAACCCCTGGCTCATACAGCACGTCGGCAGAATGTACTGCACCTGCGCAAAACCCGTAATGCATTGTGCATAGCACTTTAGAAGAACGTCTCATATAACTATTATAAGGTTGCATTTGCTCATAATTATAAGGTTAACATTCCGACAGTAGTTTTCAAATGTTGTGTCCGAAAAAATATCGTCTGCAACAAGCAAAATTCTGATGCAACGTTGACCAAAAATCCAACGAAAACCACGAAAATTCAGGGTTCTGCGCAGGCGCAGTACGTTCTGCCGACGTGCTGGCTCATACATACAAAAATATTACTCACCTTGGATTTTCTCCCTCTGCATCACAAAAACACATACTGGTAACCCGAAAAAAGTACTACCAGTATACAAAATCACACTGTTGTACAAAATGGGGATCAGTGCACTTCTGAATCAGGTGAACCAATATAACTTATAAACATAACACATCAGCTTTCAGTCATACAGTCTGTCGTAAAGTAACACATTGGTGTTTCAACCTTATGAATACATAAATTGCTCTGTTTATGAAATAATTCTTAAGAGACTACTCAGTAAGCCTGTGTGTGTCACACTGTGTGTGTGAGGTGCATTGTGCTGCAGGTACCAGTACACATGTACAGTCAATCTGTTTTGCTGGCCAGAGTAATATATCTTTTTAGACCACACATAGTCGAAGTACCTTCTAGCTATATAGTATTACTGACAGATAAAACTACAATGTAATAAACTTCCCTAGAGCCCATTGAAAATTGGTAGCCAAATGCCTACTTAGTACATACGTACTTCATATAAGTTAACTTTTTTGAGATCTTTAAGTCAGGCAACACAATAGGACTATAAACGGCTATTGTCCAGCAAGACAGACAACTTTATACACATTACACAATTTACAAATAATATAACTGTCTTTAAGATAAACAATTGCATATGAAAAAACTTACTATCCACAAAAATGTAAGGATTGTAATATGGTATATGACTGTGTGCTGAAACATTCACTTGAAGATGTCAGCCAAAAGATGTTATTTCTGAATTTGATTATCTTATGTAGTATATATCTGATACAGTTGTAATTTCTAATATCTAGATACGTGTTATTAAACTTTTAATAAAAGCGGATTAATGAACAACCTTATACAATCCTAGAATGCTTACCTAACGTCCCGCCATCGTTGTTGCCATGGGAACCAGCAGACGCGGTTCTCGCGGCGGCCATGGCGGGAGATCGAGTTACGACCATGGACGGAGCTCCTACCGGCTCTGTGGTGATGGTATGTGTCTCTGTGTCATGCTGCAGTAGTCCATCAGTATCATTACTGCTGCCGGCTACAGCATCCTGCATCCCTCCCATAGCACACACCACACTCACGGGGTGGCAATCCTCCCCGAAACCTGCAGTATCCATCATCTGGGCAGGGGGCGCTGTTGGTTCCACTACAGCACAGTCAGGACCGTCCATGGTGTCCTCAGCAGGTTCAGTTTTGATCTCCGCAGGGGGTATCATCTCGGAGGAGTCGTGGAACTCGTTCTCCGCCATGTTTTCTTCTGCGGCGGGCTCCCTCTGCGAAGTACAAGCCTGCGGCGTGGCGTTCTTGTTGGATACAGGACTGTCGGAGACGTGTTTGTACTTCAGCGTTCCGGGGAAGTGGGTGTGTCCGAGGCCGGGGTGGTGGCCGCAGCTGAGGTCCATGATGTACTGGAAGGACGTACAGTTGAAGAAATGTTTCAGGACGCGGAGCATGATGTCGTGGTCCACACAGAAGGAACATTGCGGGCAGCTGAACGTTGCCTCCATCTTGGCTTGTCGTTGGGACTGATGTGTAATATATGGCGGCTTCTGTGAAAGGGCAATACATGTACAGACTGTATAAATCATCATGTCCTTAAATGTACCTACTAATACAATTTTCAAGTCAAACTCTGAAGTCTGTTCTCCGTCCCTTTAAATTTAATTTAAAAGCTTTACTGCACAAATATATATGGATGTCATATTCAAAACTGTTTAAATTGTCTTCATTTCAAGATTCCAATTCTTTGCACTTTTTTATTGGTTGGACCAAGGAGGTTGAAGAGCTTGACAATGCACTGAATCTGCCTAGTAAAAGCACTCACTCACTAGTAAAAGCACAATGATATAAAAGATGGATTAGTAATACGTTACTTGCCCTGCTAACCTAGTGTTAACAATAGAAACTTGGATGCTTGACTGCAACAGTACCAGAGAGGTTTAAGATAAGAAATTGTACATTACGTTCCAAATCATGCGATTTTCCTGTGAGAATTATTACCTTTTCGCATAATATTTAGATTTTACGGTCCATCTGCCCCCCTCCCACTGTTCCAGACAAAGCAACGTTACCTGCGGATTGTGCTGTTTGTCGACCTCTGTCGGCGTTTACTCAGAATGCATGCGGCTCCTAAAAGCCTTGTGAACTGTACATATAGCTCACCAACCGATAAAAACTTCTAAAACAGCTTAGACGTGAAAAAAAGAACCATACAACTGTTTTATATTTCAGGACGACACCCCCTTCGCGTAAAGACGACACCGGGACGAAAACGAGGCTATGTCCTGGTTACCTTATTTTGTAGCGAACCATCCGCCTGTCGAGTAAGGACGTCGATCGCGCATAGATTCACGTGCATAGATTCACCAAAACTCTTTGGTTGCTGAAAAAATACATGTAACGCTACTATTATGTAGTAGAAGCAACTATACAAAAGTTACGCCCTCCCGAGTCCGCACTGGTGTTCCAGTGCTGAATCAGCGGTCAAAATTATATTGCGTCAGCTCTGGTCACAAGTTCCAGTGCTGAAAAAAGCTCAGCACTGGATTTCCAGTGCTGAACCGCTCTGTTCCAGAGCTGAAGCTCCCTCAGCACTGGAATTACCACGTCAGCTCTGGTGTCCCAGTGCTGAGAAAGGAGGGCGTTACTTTTGTACATCTGCGTAGTGCAAATTGGCTAAATTTGTAAAGTAAAGGCTAATTTCTAATGGCAGAATCACCAATTTGGTCCAATTTCTAGGCTATTCAAGTTTTCAGCCGATATCTCAACAAGGGCGTTCTTGATCTCGTATGTCTGATGCACCTGCTTCTAAAATGTATTGGAGGTCATCTTGACATTTACCAGGTCATCTTCAGGTCAAAATGTCTGGTATAAATGTTACAATACTGTATTTAATGTAAGGAATTTATTCTTTTATTTCCCATTTTGCAACGTTGGCAATTTAAAAAAATAAATATTTTCCATATGGAATTCTTAATAGACAGATCAGATAGAGGCATTTAAAATTAGCCAACATCATAGGAACTTTGAGGTTTCAACAAGACATCAATAAAAGCAGTTTCAAACCGTCCGAGCATTTCAGACAAAAAATTGTACCGGATCTTGTCAATCCATATACTCGTTTGATACACCGTTTCGATGACAACGATGGTGTTATGAGGTTCACCTTGGAGATACGGACGATCAACAAAATATCGACCTTTAGTGAAAAGGATTTTCCCACCTCCAGCATAGCTGAAGAGGGTAGTTCTAACGGGTGTCCCTTTGTAGATTATCGTAATGTTACTAAGCAACGCCGTAACACGAACAAACCTACACAACTAGGAGAGGGTACTTAACATCTGTTGAAATAGGCGTGGCATAAACTGTCAGTGCTCACTAAAAACAATAGTACCGCGTGTTGTCAATGTTTACATCTTAAGCTTGACGTGTTCCTTGCTTAAGTGTTTGTATGAGCGGCTGTTGTAGTTTTGCCTCAGTCAACTCGAAGCCGAACTGTGGGGAGGATCACACGGGCAAAACGGACACCAACGGCACAGTCTTGGAAGATTATCCAGAGTTTTTGTCACACTCGTCAACCTGAGCTTGTGAAGAAGTTATCGCCTTAGGGAGAAATCAAGCTGCTTTACACCGGATTTCTGCACGTAAACCCTGACTCAGAGACGTTAAACTCCAAGTTGCTTCACGGTCCGGTAGGAAGAGCTCATGCACCATGGAGAGCGGAGCGACACGGGCGAGTCTGCAGCAGGATCGTGACCTGAAAGTTAAAATCCAACTTCTGCTGCTATAACAAGAACGGTTTTACGTTTCCAGACGACACAAGCTAGTCATCGCTCCGTCCGCCAAGTTAAGTGTAGTCGAAAACTGGAGACACCTGTTGAGGAGAAGACGGTGCCTGTACGACAACTGAAGCTGTAGTAAGGCTTCAAGAACAAGGAGACGAACAACAATACAGGACTATCGCCAAAAAACAGACGGACTATCATTTGACGAAACTACAGTCGGATCAGCAGCAGTGTTAAAACGGCATAGTGGATCGGTGGCCTGACCAAGGACAGGTATTGTGACACCCGTCTTTGAAGTGGACAGAAAGTTCTTTTCTACAAAGCAAGATACCTTGCTACACAACACAAGACTCCTTGCAACAAAGCAAGACAGGAAAAAGAAACATTTCATTTATTTTCATCGGTGGATGTTGTTGTGTTGACGATACGCTGAACATGAAGAGAAGCCACAGTTTCCATTTCGGGTTTTTCTCGGCCCTGGAGATTGAAAGACGGACGGCGCCGGCCCGGCATCAGAACAAAGTAGAAGACGTGCTGCTGAAAAAGAAACTCGAGCAGCTGAACAGAGAAAGAAAACTGACTCTCAACGACATCAAAAGGTCCAGGGACAAACTCAAGTGTAAACAGAGAGAGCTTCCCCCGCCTTTGAGTTTATATGAGGTATATGACGACGACGTTTTTTCCGAGGATTCGGGATACGACTCTGAAGTAGCAGCGGCCGCAGCTAGATCAACGGCCGACGTAAAGATTCTCGTTGACGAGAGTGGAGATCTAGAGAATATTGCTACGTGTGTTTCCAGCAGCGATCGTGGACGTAGCAGCGGTATCGTTACTGATATTTCACGTCCGGGTAGCGGCCTTCCGCCGATAGCCAGTCCAGAACCACTCGCCCGGCGTTCTCCAGAGTCGAGCAGGCGTGAAGAGAGGGCCGGTGGGAGGCCCGATGACTCCCGACAGGGCGGACTGAAAGAGGAGAGGTCCTCAACACCAGGTGAAGAGGCGGTGAAGGGCGCAGAGCCTGGGAATGCAGGAACAAGCGTTGCCAACATACAGACAAAACAAACAACGGACATAAAAAGCAACCAGCTAACTGTCAGCTATGGACAGAAAAATCCCCTGACTACACCAAGACAAATCCACCGACCCAATGTATCGGATGCAAACGTAAAAGGCAGCCATCCTGACTCAAGAGAAGAACACGAAGAGGTGTCAAAAGCAGACATATACATGAAAACACCGCCATATTCCTTCTCCCCTATTGAACGCCTGCGCCTCTCGCGACACACGGCAGGGAGAAAACTCCGTCCGTCCACCTCGCAGATGTCCAGTATTCTGAAGAACCCTGACAAGCCCGGGATTTACTCGAGCGCTTACACCACCCAACCTCCCATCTGGAAAATCTCACTCCAAGAACTCTCCCCAGAGTTCCGCAAAATTGCGTTCGGTAGAAGAAACAAACGCAAAGACGCCCTCGGAAAGAAACTCCCTCGCTTGGGTACAAGTCAGAGTGAGAAAGAGTTTCACACGAGGAAGAGGAAAAGTTTCATGTACGCAGGTGCGCAGTCACAGCCTCAAGAGAACGTCCAGCCGTCATCTTACAGAGTTCTACGTAATATTCAAGTCTTGAAGACGTCGGCTTTGGACAGAAAGTGGCCTGAAGAAAAGGACTTCGTGAAAGAAGTCTTGAAGGAAAGAAAGTCGTGGAACTTGGAGAAACAGCTACGAGGTAGGGTGGAAGACTTCTTGAAGAAAGATCACTATGTTTCCACAGACAGTCTCAAAAAGGACGAAGTAGAAGAAAACTTGGAGAAGTTGCGAAAGATCTTGTCAACCAAATAATTTGGACTTTATTTCTTACCTCGAGCTTGTCCTAAAACAAGCGGACTGTCACCAGACAAAAGGGAATACGTTATCCTTTGTAATTTGCGTACATAAGTGGGCTATAAAGCAATTACAAAGTAATAACCACGAACAATGTAAACCTTCGCTTGTATCAGATCTTTAGATCTTAAAAGCAAAGTGGAATTTACGATAGGCAATAAGGGCTGATACGGTAACAATGACTAAGTATACGTCAATCTTGAGTAATAAAATATATTGTAGCACTTAAGGACGACAGTATGTGTAGGTATCAGTGTTCATAAAACACTGAGTGATTGCCAAAACTTTGTATTATCTGCGTCAATATTTTCCCTGGTAGTAAACTGGCCAGATGATGTATTGCCGACTCAGTGGCCCATATTGTGCTGGGTACATGTACCTGCGCCTTTAAAACAAACCGTGGGCACTGAGTGTCGCATAGAATTGCTAGAGCTTACCGTTACAGCGTATTGCCTTGAATTAAAGCAATTGTCAACGAGTATCTATGAAAGACGAAAAATCAATCCAATTGTTCATAAATAAAATTAATCTTGAATTGAAATCTCACATGTCCACGTTCTTTTCTTGTTGACTGCTGACAACGTGCATACTTCAAGTGTTTGACTTACATGTAAGCTGTACACAACCTAACTGCCACAGCTATAGGACCAACACACTTAACAGACTGGTGTACCGACCATAAGACGTATTACACACAACTGTGGCACCAGTTACATCATTCAGTATAAAGAAAAGGGCCAGGGACACAAGTCTTGTAGCTATATGGCCCTATATATTTCTGTACCAAATACTGGGTCACAGTCAAGGACCAAGGACACAAGTGAAGTCTTGTAGCTACTAGTACTAGTATATATTTCAGTACCAAGGACAGTGACACCAAACTTGTAATTATTTATTGGTTAAAAGCTATATCATAAAGTACCAGAACTTTGTCATCTTTTCATTTTCAATTATTGACAATAATCCTTTTGAAGCATTTGTAAGAAAACAATGTAATCCAGAAAGAAACACAAAAAGCTGCGGAAAAATAGAAAGATTTCACCATACCCATTTAAATGATATATCACATACCACAATAAATTATTTACTTTCTTTATATAACCTATTATACACCACAATTCTCATAGATATCAGGCATATGCTACACATAAGCATTAAGTACAGCACTGATTTCTTTGCACATTTTGCAAGGATTGTTATGTATCAATATTCTACACCACTAATAGAAAAATCCTCATCTCATCTATCTTTCCAGGGTCTTATTTCATGTCTGCACCACTTCATGTTTTTTTCAATCTGTAGCAAAGAGTATCAAGTAGTTGCAATGTGTAATGAGGTAGTTGTGATCTGATTTGTGCATAGTTGAGTTTCATTTCAACTCATATCATCCAAATGATACTGTCTTCCAGCACATTTAATTGGACTGTCATATAACCTAGTTAGTAGGTTTGAGGAGGATGGTTCCCATTGGTTGGCTGGAGAAGGTACCGCTGCTGAAGACCGTGTTTCCCCGTACCAGTGTCCTGTGTACCACACCCTTCAGCACCCTACCCATGTACGGGGTCACCTGTGGACACACAGGCAAGGAGTTATGCAACATATTCCAGCAAACATTGTGTTTGGTTGTATGAACATTCCTATGTTAAAAAAACATTTGAGTGAATAAGAAATCATATAGCATTTAAGTAATGACAGCATCTAATTTTTTTGCAGTATTTTTATTTTTTAGCATTACCACTAGGTTTCAAGAACATGTATACAATATCAAGTCATATATTTGAATGAAAGCTCATCTGTGTTGGTAGAAGTCATAGTTATAAGTTTGAGCTTAGTTCCAACACAGAAAAGGAACTCACCATAAAATATCAAGTCACACTTTAATTAAGCTTCAGTCTACTAAGGTAGCCCATTGGCACCAAATTTGTATTGGTTATGGGGTTAGGCAACAGGGATTTTTTTTACAGCAGGACAATTAAACATCTGACCTTATTCTTGTGCTGAATGATGTCTTCAGTGACAGTGAAGGTCCCATCAGGGTCCCAGATCACCAGGTCAGCGTCCTTCCCGACCTCTAGTGACCCTTTCCTGTGACCCATGCCACACAGGTCAGAGGTCGTGACACACATCCAGTCCACCAGGTCACGAACAGTCAGGTTCCTCTGGGCAGCGTTAGTCCAGAACAGGGACAGGCCTGGACAGGGGGGGGCAAATTTCATGGTTAATCTATAGTGATTGTGTACTAGGCATAACAGTACCTTGAAACGGCATAATCTCGGTATGCCAGCAGAATGTACTGCACCTGTGCAAAAACAGTAAAGTATTGTGAATGGCACTTCAGCAGAACATCTCTGTGGTATTTAAGGATGGCATCGAGTCTATTATTTTGTGTTGGAAAGGATATCTGCAATGGGCAAAAGTCTGACGCCCAACATCCAACAAAAACTGTGAATAAAAAATTTGGGTTTCATGCAGGCAAAATACATAATGTGCCAACATGCTCATAAAGTAATACTTCACAGAGTCATGTGTTTGTCTTTATCATAAGAAGTTCAATCTACGTAACTGTCAAGATCCTGACATTTTGGCAGTAATCAAAGGGTTACTAGCAACTTGTTGTTACTTTGATGTAAGCATTTCTGTGCGTGATGAGACCTACCAAACTGTACAGAAGCCACCCCTCCCCATGCTGCTACAAAGTCCCCAGTGTCCAGTAGTTTGAGGTCAGCCGTGCATGGGGAGTGGTCTGATACAACCATGTCAATGTCTCGTGCCTTTAGTGCATCCCACAACTCTTCCTGGATTATGCAAGAAAGGCACAGATATTGTCAGTAGGTCAGTATGAAATGTTGTGGCAAACTATGACAGGTAGCCCAAAGACTACTATTATAGCTAATACTAAGTAATTAACCTTTAATGCACTGCATTTCCCCTGACCAAAGATTTTGCCCATTTTGCCCACAGAAAATTGAAGATGAATTTCATTTTATCATGGAATGCTCTATATGTGATGTCCTACGTGATAAGCTATTCAAATTTCTCACTTCAAATACGACAGATTTCAATAGACTTGTTGCTACAGATAGATTTGATTATATAGTTAAATGCAACAGCCCACACAATGCAAAAATAGGTAAATACATAAAAGACTGTTTTGTTATTAGAAAGAATACTGATTTGTTGTCACATGTACCCATAAATAACTGATCCGCCTGATTGTAAAGCCTAAGCTGACTTTTGATTATTTCTTTTCTATATATAAGTTGTTAAGTTTTATTCTATACCTATCTATTTTACTATGCTACTTATTGTTACCTATTTGCCATACAATGTACCCTGTACAATTGTCGTGCAATAAAGTTCTTCTTCTTCTTTCATTTCTCTATTGGTTACAGTGTTAGGCAGCAAGGAGAAGGTTAACTAACTGATCTGTTTTTTACCTGGTTGTTCCTCTCTCTGATTGGAGGACAACATTTGAACTGTGTGGCCCTGTCTGGGATGTCCTCGGCACAGAGCGTCAGGTAGTGGTGACAGGTCTCTACTGTCAGGGGTAACCCTCGCTGTCTGGCTGTCCTGATGATGGGCAGGGCTTCAGCAGAGGACAGGTGAACAATGTGGCACCGCACACTGGGAGTCAACACAACAACAACAACAACAACAACAGTAATAGTAGTACTGCATAATGTATATATTTGAATATATATAACACTTCTAATGTACATGTATGTATACCATTTTCTAATCAGGAAAGTTTGTAATTTTGTGCTTGGCTATGATGAAGCAGGCTTAGTATGCCCAGTGTAGCTTGTCAACATGCCAATGATTAGGGAGAATAAGTGTTTTAAATTTCCTTACAAATGTGGCTAAAAGGTGTAGATGTATAAATGATTGAAGGAAGGAAGGGAAGAAGGTACTAGGAAGTCAGGAAGGAAGAAAGCAAGGAAGGATGGAACAAACAAAGGAATGGAGGAAGGAAGGATGCAAGAAAAGAAGGGAGGGAGGGGACAGGTGAGGCAGGCAGGCAGGCAGGCAGGCAGGCAGGCAGGCAGGCAGGCAGGCAGGCAGGCAGGAAGGCAGGCAGGCAGGAAGGCAGGAAGTCAGGCAGGCAGGAAGGCAGGCAGGAAGGAAGGCAGGCAGGAAGGCAGGAAGGCAGGAAGGCAGGCAGGCAGGCTGGCAGGAAGGCAGGAAGGCAGGAAGGCAGGCAGGCAGGCAGGCAGGCAGGCAGGCAGGCAGGCAGGGGCTAAGACTTACCCATACTGCTGGCACATGTCTGACACCAGCTGTATGGCATGGTTCTCCATGGCCTTAGGTCTGGACTGCAGGAAGGTCTGATACGCCTGTGGACTGGTGCTGGTCTGGAACAGGGGAAGTCACACATTTTAATCTTACTGTTCTAACAGTTTTACCTGTGTTCCTGTCCTTGGTGCTGAATGATATAGAATACAAGACTGGTGTCCCTGTCCTTGGTGCTGAATAATATAGAATACAAGACTGGTGTCCCTGTCCCTGAATGCTATAGCTAAAAGTCTGGTGTCCCTGTCCTTGGTGCTGAATGATATAGAATACAAGACTGGTGTCCCTGTCCTTGGTGCTGAACGATATAGAATACAAGACTGGTGTCCCTGTCCTTGGTGCTGAATGATATAGAATACAAGATTGGTGTCCCTGTCCTTGGTGCTGAATGATATAGCAATAAGTCTGGTGTTCCTGTCCCTGGTGCTGAATGATATAGCAATAAGTCTGGTGTGCCTGTCCTTGGTGCTGAATGATATAGAATACAAGACTGGTGTCCCTGTCCTTGGTGCTGAATGATAAAGACAATGATAAAGTGTTGGTAGTACATTTGATAATTGACAGTATATCTACTGATCACTCACCTGTGTACCAATAGGTTGATCCACTTCAGCATGGAACTGCAAAAACAAGGCAAATACTGGATAAGTCTTAGAGAAAAGAAAACTTACCTAAAATATTGGTATCTCTTCCATACTATGTACATATAGCTGTCAGTGTATTGTCAGCCTTGGCATGACTTTTCTAATATTATAGTACCTAGAAACATTGCTGCTTTTTAAAAACAAACTGCTGCAGAATCTGTCATAAAATAAAATTAACTTTGCAGGAACTTTACTCACGAGTAGGACACTGTTGGTTCCCTGTAAGGCCTGCATGGCCTTGTGTAAGTCTGGTTCTGTGACGTGCTGAAATTCATCCACCCCACTGTGGATGAGGAAACACTTGAACCCAGATATCCCTGCTGCTATCATGGCCTGCAGCTCCCCCTAGAGGAAATATGCGGTAATGCAAGGGTAAAGGTTGCCAACTTGTTTGTAAAAGTTTTTAAGTAGTAAGGGTGGAAGGTATTTTTATCCAATGATATATGCTGTAGTATTCTTGCGTAGACAGTTGCTTCCACATTATTGAAATGCACTAAGCAATTAATTGACAGATCAAACAAACAGGGTACAAAAGAAAATTGCAAATCCTTAATTAGTAATTAACATCTTACCTCGTTACCAGGGACCACCCCTCCCCAGAAGGCCACATCCACATACAGCTTGTCCCTGGCTGTGTCCAGTTTGGTCTGGAAGGCAGCTAAGGTGGTGGTGGAGGGTACGCTATTTCTGTGGGCCAATCAATTAAACATAGCAGCATTAGCATCACTGAAAATAGCTTTATCAATATACACTCGTAAATCTGTCAGTTACTTCTGTTTTGATGCTGCATGTGGAGTGACCCTTTGAATATTTCTTTATGTTACAAAAACTTCCAGATGAAATATGTCCAGCAGAGATCTGCATTAAGGATGGTTTGGAGGTTGGACTGTCTTTTTTATTATTTTATATTCTGACTACAGGGCTTAAAATACTGGGTGCATTTGCACCCTAGTGTATCCAAATTTGGAGCTGTGCACTCAATTTTTTTCTGTGGGTGCACCAGTGCACCCAAGTATTTTCTTAGACTTAATGTATGTGAAGATGTTAAATGTATAGTAGTTACAGCATATCCTTAACATCTAAGTGTCAGAAAAAATAATACAGTCATTTTTATAGTACTTTTCTTGAAATGAAACATAATCATAGTTTTTGCTAACATTCTACTTATTTTATCATATATGGTGCACCTATTCTCAAAAATGAATTTCGAGCCCTGGACTACAATTGCAATCACTTCATATTCATGAGTATCAGGTGGTAGTGCCCTCTTTCTTACAAGTCTTAGACAGCTGACAGTGAAAAGATGGTACGACATGATTAAACACAGCAAAACAATCGCACATCAGATTGAAGAGTGCTGACTCACAGAGGCATGTCCACGATGGTGGTGATCCCGCCGGCCGCTGCGGCCCGTGTGGCGGTGACGTACCCCTCCCACTCTGAACGGCCAGGCTCGTTCACGTGCACGTGGCTGTCTACTACACCAGGCATCACGTACAAGTCTCCCGCATCTATTACCTGTACTCAAACAACAGGATAAAATAAGATTATCATTTCTAATGGTGGACCATAACTAAAGAGTTATCAATTCTTTTTGGATGTAATAATCAACATGCAACTATATGCCATTATGATCGAAATTTTGACTGTCTGGCAAGCGAAAAAGTAACATGATATGTGTATTATTGATCACACATTGTAGAAAACAGAAATGAAATTATTCTGAGCCATGGTCATATGTTATAATTATAAACGTTAAATAGTAATATAAGGGTAATAGTCTGATATAACACCTTGTAGGTATTTCAATTCATGTAAAGTTAACCCAGTAGAAAGCTTTCCCGACTTTTGGTTCATTTGTTGAACCTTAAGTACAATCACCGTCATTGCTTGGTCTGACTTGAAGAAGAAGCCACGCCCACTGCTGCATATAAATTATGAACCTGCTCATAATTTGTTCGAAAATCAACAGGTTGACATCTCCAAAGAAGCCACCAGTCACAAAGTTCGTACAGCTAGAAAGGAAATCAACATTACCGGTATGCCATGTTACTTTAATACTTAAGAGAAAGTTGTCAGACCAAAGTCCAATAAATTTGTACGTGTAGTAAACTGAACTGAGACGGTGGCACCTTGGCCGCTCGATTCACTCGGAGAAAATGACAATCTAGCCGCTACAAACCTCCACACCAGCTTCAAACGAGGAAGCACTGCCCTTTCGGATCTCTGCGATGACTCCATCCTTGATGCAGATTTCTGCTGGACATATTTCGTCCGGTAAAACAACTCTTTGTCCCCGGACAACTTTGTCAAAGTTGACTTGGGACGCCATCTTGAACTGAGGTCGACAACAACAGGTGGACCGTACAAGAGCGACCTCTAGCGGAATAGTATAGTATTGTAGGGACATCAGTTGTGTGAACAAACATGTAAAGTTAGTGAGCAGAAAATGATACACATATTGTACATCTTCTGATATAGGTTACTTAGCGTGACAACTGTAAGTACAGGAGAGGTATGTTACATTTCCTGTCCATTTTGGTTGTCATACGTCATCAAAATGACCACAGTAGCAGATTGTACAACCACCTGTGTTATCTTTATTCTCAGGTTGCATAATGCATTACATAGATATGAACATATACACTTGTAAACTACCAGTATGTGTGTCATAGGTAAACAAAATGAAGTTTGATTGCTGTAAAGTGTGAAGCATCAGACATACATGTATATGTTACTTTCCGTTTTTATGACAAATACTCAAAAGTTGCACAATGGCAGACGAAAAACTAGTCAAGAATCATCTGCCATATGGAAAAAATTGTGCCCTGCATTTCTTTACCCTGCTTGTGCATTCTCACTTGTTACAGTTTATGTTCCTTAGTCAAGAACATCTCTATAATAGTACATGCTTTCTTCATATTTCTCTCTTAAGACTACACACAACAATACATGATGAGTATCTTACACAGGCACTTCATAAGTTTTCTACTATAGTATAACGCTATATAAATCTCAAACCATTGCTGTGATGGTACACAACTCAGGCTGCACAAGTGAACACTCAACTGTTCAAAAAGTATGTACAACATCCTGGAAAACATCAAAGTGCTACCATAAGTCCAATTTGTGTTACAAAACTTGATATGTACACATAAACTTATGCTTTAACAGCGTTTGGATCTCTATACAGCACCCTCCCCATGATATCCCAAAGAGCATCCGTGTACATATACAACACACCCCTGTAGTCATAATTATATGCCGCCCAAAATGAATCTAACATTAACTCCTTTGTTTTTTGCCCTTGAACTTGCAAGTAATGCTGCATGCTCTGAGCTATTTCCCTACTCTTAACTCCTGCATACACAATACTCGGTATAACAACCTGTTGGACAAAGTGGCTCTGCATGAAGTTAGCATATGCAGTTGCCATGGCAACTCTACAGGTGAGAAGCAGTTCCTTCATCTTCTGGAAGGTGGCTCTACTGAGATACAATGATCTGTTAAAGCCGGCAACGGCTGCAATCCTTGCCACTGACAGAAGATGAAGAATCGCTCCGTAACCACTGATAGTTGCCTTCTTCAGTGACTGGGCAGCGTTTGCAGCTGCGAGTCCCACCCACGAGTTTAGCAATGAGGTCCACCATTCCCTCAGAACAAAGGATGTGTAGGACCACAGTAGGCGCATGGATGAGAAAACCATTTTGAGAAACTCAGGCACTTTGATTACAAACAGCCAGTACAGAAATTTGTAGAGAGACAAAACAACCATCATCATTACCTTATATACAAACACCACAGTCTCATACAAAATTGTACAAGTTAGCCAGTATATGTTGCACAACAGCTTGGCTGAAGGCACTACTACATTACTGTAGGTAAAAACGCTTGACACTCTTACAAAGTCTCTGAAGGCACTGGCTGCAGGAGAGTAGTATACAGTTGTAGGGAGTGTGAAGAATAGGAACTCTAAGGCACTGCACAGAAGTTTCACTGCCACTACACTGGCCTGCTTGGTGTGGTCAGCTGTGATCTCTACGCATTGCATTCCCTTGATAGCAATCTTATAGCACACATTCCTGGTGGTACATGCAAGTTGTGAGTACCATATTGCAATGGCAGCTTCCCCCAACCCCACAAACATCATGTAAAAGGTATGTGCAACTAGCTTTGGGAAAGTGTTAAAGGTAAACAACAGTCCTTCCACACTCCTCTGTCTGGCAAGTTCCATGGGTCTGGAGTACCACACAGACACTGCCACGTCTTTAAAGAAGACGGGGAGAGTTACGAAGATGAAGTACGACAAGACAGTGATGTCTTCACGCAGTTCAGTCATGAAGCGCGAGTGCCAGATTCTGTGCGCCAACTCCTTTCCGATGCCGTATGCTCCCATGGTGAAATTGAAGGCGTGTGCGGGGAATGTATAAATGAGATAGTTCGCAGCACTCATGGTGCCTTGTCTAACCATGGCCATAGCAGGACTGTTCCAGATATGTGTGCCAAGTGTCATCACTTTCTGCAAGGCCCCATAGACCAACCTCTTCACCCTGCCTGATGAGTTGAACACACTGTTATACAGGAACATGACAGCAACTGTAACTCCGTTGTACAACTTTTGCGCACACATCATCACTGGGCCACGGATAAACATCTTGGAATCTTCGAGAAACACTTTTACAAACTTCTTCAGGTCTGCGGGAAGTACGCGGTAGCTGTCCCGGAAGAGTTGGTACGACCCGTGGAATGTGACCATGAGGCTGACAATTGTGACAGTTTTTGTAGCCGTCACTACAGATGGCCGGGTTACTGGGCGGGGCTCGTGTTGCCCTGGCAACAAGCTCGGCTCTGGATTCTCTGTTATTTCATCTTCAACTTGATCCTCCCATGATAACTCTAAGTCCCTCTTCTTCCTAGCGTCACTGGTTGTACTTTCTTCTGTCTCCTGTTCTTCACTTGCCTCTGTATTTCCCAACAACCTGTGAAAGTTCTCAATGGCCATTTTCAGCTGCTCTTTGTTTACTTTCATATCCTTGCGGCAGAAAGGACAACGAAAGGACCTGTCCCCACTCTGCTCCAGGTAGTCAACAACACACTTGGCGTGAGTAGCCTTCTTACATCTTGTACATTCGTAAGGACACGAAGCCTTTAAGTCCTCAAGACAGATACAACACTCGCTCTCGTTGCCCTTTTGTAGCTCCTTGAAATAGTGCAGACAGACGAAAAGCAGCCATGCTAGGAAACACAAGACTTTAGAGGTGTCCTTAAGCAGGAGAACCGTACCGATACCGGACAGTAAGAGCACGTACGACCGCCATATGAGTCTCGGCAGGTGTCTTCTGTGGTGAAATAGGTACAACGCCACACCTGTTAAGGTGAGAAGTAACTGCGTCTCTCCCAACATCTTGACGTTGTACACTCCGAGTTTCTTCGTCTCAAATGTTTCTTCAGACCTTCAGTGTCGCCTGAATACCGCCATCTTCCCTCCAAATGTGCGTATTGGCACTGACGTGTCCCTAGATGCTGAAATGACTCACGGTGTGTGTTATTTTAGCGCCCACGTCATCTCGTCATCAATGTTTTGGTTTCCAGTTCAATGAACAAGTGAACTTTGACACAAGTCACGAGGTCAAACTCTCATCCGACGAGTCCATGTTTGCACGCGATAGGGGGTAGTGGCTCCCATTCCATTAAATGTGTTTTTTGACGTTTAACATCAAGAACTTACCGAAATGTTAAAAGCACACTCTTTCTTAATACTGAGCACTTATAATAGAATGCAGCCGCAGCTTCTTCGTCCTCATGGGATGGGATAAACCAAGGATATTATATAATGTCCTTAGACTAACAACACACATACAAAAGGGCAATGCTTTGACTTAGCCACACACTGAAAAGGGTATTTCAACACTAGGAAAATTTGTGCTCTTAATAATTTAAGGGTAGATTCGACGTTTTATCTAGTCTTAAGCGGAACTGTATATCCGTAGATATCAATTACCCATTGACGTCACACTTTTGAATATTAGAGAATGGAACATTATTGCCAGGGATTTAGTGACTAGATAAAAATGGTGCACGGAAATTGAATATTTGAATAATTTACCATACTCGATGAGGAAAGGGAACAAAACCCAAATCTTCCTTTTCAAATCGGTTAACAGGTTGAAGGTAGCTTTAGGGACCATTTAGAGAATACTTTTGAATAGTAACGTCAATAAAACATGTTCACGGCGCGCGCAAGTACAGTATGTGCTTTTCGACAGAAAAGGCGCAACTGGATGGAGTGGTCCGCTTTACTTCTCTGAACTAGTCAGTTATATTGTGCCTATACGTTATAGCTTCAAAGTTTGACTCAAGTAGGCATAGATAGTGTGAAGTAAGAGGGGCATGACGGCTTAAATATCTTCAGCTTTACGAGAAGCGATCATGGGGAGCAGACGCGTCAACCTGTTTCTTCTCCAGGTGACAGCAGCAATCATACTGCCGGGCGGATCTCAACTAACAACCCGTGAGTTCGCTATATTGTAGATGATTATTTCTTGAACATATCACACATACTGTATGCTATTGCTACCATAAATTCCTCTCGATTCAGCGCGTCGAGACGTGTAGTAGCTTTTCAGCATTTTCTCTTGGTATGTTCCAATTCTAACTCCTGTTCAATATATAACTTTTTTGATAACCAGATTAGCATTTGGTATCATTTAAGGTTTTGAGGTGGTGCACTGTTATGTCAACTTTGTGTATTTATATGTTTTTGTTGTATTTTGTTGTGTGACGCTGTTAAAACAAGTTATAAACTTGAAGAGTGCAGCGTCGCACCTTATTACTGTTTTGTTGTGCATTGATGAATTTTAAAAAAGTACAGAAACAACTACAATATTCTTCGCACCAAGTTTGTATCGCTTTTCGCCTTACAGCATGTGACATTCGAGTGACGGAAAGTCAGTCAGTCTGGGCATGGGATCTGCCCAACATCGCAGGATCGCGGGTCACTTTTGAAGTGCAGGCAGGTCATTCCGTCCACCTGGTTCTGTCCGCTGCAAACGACGAGTACAGATACGACAACGGCTCTTACAAAATTTCCATCGGTGCCCTGGAGAATACAATTTCAATAATTGCTCGAAATAAGGACGGCAAGTACGCGAATAAAGTCCAGACTTCAACTAACGGTAGGTTTTCCAAAGAGTGGTGTATAAATTTGTCTTGCTAAGAATAGCATCATTGTAGTGTTCAAGAAATTTTCAATAAGATAAGTCAATGAACCAGCCCCTGCCGTAGTAATTGTACAAATGTGTGGCCCAAGGGCTACAGAAACGGAGATGGGCGCCGCCTTGCGCCATCATGACTGATTGCGGGGAGCTAGGAATTTTAACAATCCTATCAAAACATGTCATACTGCTATAGCTACTAACTTTTACATGCTAACTTAAGATAAATTGTGTAAAGATAATAACGTTACATGTACACAACAACAACAACAACAATGTACTAGTCACTGGCTTTGAGGTATGCTAACTGCTTGAAGTTTAGGACACAAAGAGAAAGCATCTAAAGTTTTTTTTAATATATCTCTATCTACAGGATTTCTTTCCGAAACCGAGCCTCGGGGCTTCTGGATCTCGTGGTCCCCAGACGGTACGGTTGCTGCCGGGAGGCACGAGGACGCCGCCCCGTTCATGTCATGGACGGACCCCGAGCCGCTCCCGATCCTGTACGCGGGGTACAAGACTCAGTGGGTCGGCACTGCACGGTGGAAGTTCTGCCAACCTGCCGGGCTGGGAGGTAACCGAGTTATGCTGGGGTCACATTTCCGAACCGGGGCCCGGCCGGGCTGCTTCGATTAACGAAAATTCAATAATTTATATCAATAATATATGGAAATATTTCCTATTATTATTTTTTTCAACTTTTTGTGCTTTGTTGTCTTTTATATCATAATTTTCGTTCCATTAGACTTTCCGGCCGGGCCCCGGTTAGGAAATGTGACAGCATTAATGCATTTAATAACATCAATACCACCTTAAATCTTGTATTCTAGACGGATGTCCGTATATGTATAAACCAGTAATTGAAGCGTTGCACTCATTGTACAAAATGCCGCAGAAGGCATGATTCAGTCGCAAGCCAGTCCAGCGTGAAAACTTGTTACGAATGGAATCAACGATTTATATACTAGATTGTCCTCAATACAAGAAAAAGTATACTAAGTAAAGCTGCAACATATATGCCCGTAGATTATAGACTATACTAAAATGTACATTGTATTGGCAAAGGTTTGTGTTTTACTTTTAGGGATGATATGTATAATTTCTCTATAGCTACTGGATTAGCATATCCGTAATAACGTCATTCTTGCAAAATCGATCACCTTTATGCTCACAATATATATAGCTCATCTGAAACATTTTGTTGTGATCTGATATTCGACATAATAACGTTATCCAAGTATACCACCATTGGCCTAGCTGAATGGCAGAAAATTGAATACGCAGCATATACTTTGATGTTGATTTTGATAGGTTTAATTTTTTTGTCTTACGTATTATTACCTCCATGAAAAATGGAGGTATTGTTTTTGGCGTGTCTGTCCGTATGTATGTATGTATGTCTTTGTGTGTTTCCGCAGCTTTGTGGTCAGCATAACTTCAGAACGCCTTTATGGATTATGATGATATTTGGTATGTTGGTAAGCCTTAGGAAGACAAACGTCAAGGTCAAATATGGGCCTCCTGGTGGATGACCTTGGTACTGCAGCAGAACTTCCGGTTTTTGTATCTTTTGTCCTGAATATGCTATGGACTTGATGTTTTGGTGACAGATTGCTTTTTATGTCAGGAATAAGTGGTGTGAGTTTGGTCTCCCTAGCAGCTTGTTCTGGAACTGCAGGGCACTTTCTGGCGAAATGTTTAAAAGCCAATACGTCCAGATAGGAAAAACATATTTTCATAATTTTTGGTGTGTAGGTAGCTGAGAGAGAGATGTACATGATTAAATGCAAATTATGCAAATGAGGACTTTATTTGCATAATTAATGAGGAAATTCTATAATTACAGTGTTTTACTTTATACTACTTTCATACATGTAATGTATGTAACCTATGGCAGGCAGAACATCAACAGATACTAATTATGCAAATGATGACCTAATTTGCATAATTTATGCAAAAATTCTATGATTTCTTAATGGTGAATAATGGGAATGTCATACATGGGACATCTGTAAGTTAATCAAAAGTTAACATACATCACGATGCATATATCATGTTAATGCGGAGGTAATTTGCATAATTAAAGAGGAAATTTACATTTACATATCAAGCCCATATTTCATGGAGGTATGAAATCTCGGAATTCTTGTTACAGAATGTTCTACTCGAATAACGAACACCGGTACCAAAGACTTCCGTTGGGATCTGCCTCCCATCACCGAATCACGAGTCGTTTTTGAGGTGCAGGCCGCCAAAAGAACTGACGTTGCGCTATCTGCAGAAAACCGTGATACCGGCACACAGTACTTAATTACCATTGGCAGGACAGAAAATACCAGGTCAACCATCAAGAAGATCATCAACGGCAAACATGATCTAATGGTATCAACGTCAACCGATGGTAAAGTTTATTTATATTGTTAAGCTCATTTTACTCACTTAATTTTACTCACTTAATAATTGTCTATATGTTAACTGTGAAATACTCACTTGTTTAGCTGTCTATTTGTTAACTGTGCAATATTTGTTTCTCTGTTTTTAAACACTAGCATACAATATTCAGCGCTACTTTCTTAGTTGCGATGCCACATGCTAGAGATTGTACTCATCGATCAATCAATAAACAATTATTATGATTTGCTGGTTTCCTACCAGAGCAAATTTGCAATAATTGTGTAGGAAAATATTTTGATAATATCTCCATCTACTGTAAGTCGGTCGTAGCTTCGTACAATGTTCATTTCCATAGTTCCATAGTAAGCTAGACCACAGCAAGTAAAGTTTTTCGATGACATACTCTGGTGACCCTAAATCTAATGCAAGAGGGAAAAAAAACAAGGTGGGCCAAAAAAAAAAAAAGATTTCTACATGTTCAAATTTTGAGATCATATATAAACCTTGTTAAACTTTTTTTTAAATTCAGCGGCAACATCACATAAAAAGGAATGAATTATGAAATACAACACTGCAAAAAAGTAAAAGACAAAGCGATAAATCAGAGCCTTTTCGGAATTCCTGTCTCCTTTCTTCACATTTATCTGTCATCCAAGTTCCATATTTACCCATTTTCGGCATCTTAACCACTGTCAAAGGGCAACAAAATTTCTTCTTTTTTTTCCAAAATCAGGCGAAAATTAATGCACCTGCATCTGATGGCATCTATAAAAAATTAGTTGTTGTGGCCTAAGTTGATAAACATTGGTGACACATACAGGTATTCTTTCTGGAGACGAACTGCGAGGTTTCTGGATCTCGTGGTCGGCAGACGGCACCGTTGCTGTGGGGAAGGCCGGAGAGACCAGCCCGTTCATGACACTCCTGGACCCCGAGCCGCTGCCGGTTCTGTACGCGGGGTACGCTGCATCCGAGG